TGGCAAGTGTGGGCACCGGAACCGAAGAAGTTATTGTTTCCACTACATATTTTTAAGACCAGTGGTGACATGGTAAAAATGGGATACATACACCCTACACACAAACTTACATGTATAGGTCGCTGCTTGGGCTGACCTCCTTTCACCACAGCTACCATAACAGTTATTCACTCTGAATATAACTCAGTAGCATCATTCCTTCTCTAACTCGAGCAGTCAGTCACTTTGTGAATGCACTGATGTTAAAAATCAACCTTTCCCCAGGCTCAGTATAGCTGTGTGAATGTGGTGTGTGCAGATGTTACTGAAGCCATCTCCCATGTAGTTTAGATGGTAAACACATATAACTGAAGGTGGGGTTATGAGTAGATCTTTTTGATGGTACCACTGCATTTGATGGTTTTTCACAATGAACATGGTCACGGCATGATTTTCCATTCGCCACTGCGTATGTAAGCGCCCGTGCACACATATTTTGCGTGTGTGTGATGACACTCGGTGGCTTACAGTATGAGCAGGGTACCATGGCAGCAGAAGCTTGACTCTAATCGCCCCTTTGGTTAAAGGAGCATCTTGGCATTCTACCACTAAGCCTCTGTGGCCACCCTCAGACAGAACTGAGACAACACACATACACATACAGGAACACGCACACACACTGAGCAACATATCATCCTATGGAATCCATCTAACCTCAAGCACTGAGCAACTGAGAGGCAGCTGCTTAACTGAAGCGTCATCTTCCCCTACTCTGTAATAATGGCCAAGCCAAATCCAAACCACTCTGTTTGCAAGTAACGCCAGGATGTCTTCGTAAGGGATTGATTAGCCAGGAGCTGTGGAGGGTACAGTGTTTACAGCTTGGTGGACTGGGTGTGTGCGCTCACAAATAATGTTCGCATACCCACGCAAGCATATAAATGATTGCACACACAGATGCAGAGAAACACAAATACTACCACAAACAGTTTGTGTACTGCTTGTGCTTGGCTGTATAGGCAAGCAGTGGCAAGTATTGTTGATCTTTGATTTACTTCTGTGCGTTTACCTAATGGGGAAGCTGAAACTGTAGAGTTGAAGATCATCTGTGTAGTTGCAGGAGCAACAACTGTTTCTTCTTCTGTCTGCTTTTCTGTTTAGATCGTTCTTAGATTATCCTCACTGCATGACGCACGTTTGATCTTGTTGTAACAGTGCATGCGTGGAAGTGGGTACCAGTTCATCTTGCAATCATCCACACAAAATCGCAACCGGAAACCAAACAGTCAGGGAGTGCTGCATACACTTCCAGCCAGGCTGAAATCCTCTGACGCTGCGTACACCTTTTTGATTGACTGCCAGGCCAGCGCTTACAGACAAAAGTGTTGAATGCTGGCAAAGATGACTGAAAAAACTGGTTTCCTTCTCTGCGGCTCAAGCACGAGGTGTTTTTGCCTTTAAGGTTCTACATGTTCTGAAATGTACCTGGTTGAAGTAGCCTCAACCTTTATCTGTATCAAAACAAGTTTTTACTGTACCCTTAGTCCTTTCAGAGTCAATGAAGCTTGTATTTGTGTGAGAGCGTGTGTGTGTGTGGGTGGGTGTGGGTGTGCACGCATGCTTGCACATGTCAGCATATGTAATAATCATCCCCAGTGACAATTCCATTGTGACACACACACTTTTTATTGCTACCCGATCTTCCTGTGAACCCGACACACACAGGAAATAGGAACGATGAAAGAAAAATGGCAGAATTATGGGAAATCATTGATAAGAATCTAGAAAATAACTTTTAATTAAGATCACTTTGCCAAAGTAAAGAATTCAGTGTTGTCTGTGTGCATGCAAAAACTTTGAAGGTTAAAAAACAAAAGCGCTTGTCACTAATTTGTTGAGGGCAAAAATGTCTTGAATCCAGATTTGAAGTTCCGTGCAACAGACTCATGCAGTACAGTTGGTTGCCTCCTTTGGGGTGAAACCACAGCTATGTCAGCTCAAACTAAAGACAACTCATGGACCAAAACAGGATATTAAAAAAAGAGTTCACAGCTCCCTAACAAGCACAGTCCGGCCCATGGTTGGTGTTTACTGCGTGCAGTTTTCTGTCAAGGAAACAGATTTAACTACACTGTGTAATTGTTTTGTAGAAAGTGGACGTGGCTGCTTCCTTCTTGGAACTCATGGATACTGTCTGAAAAGGCTGCATTTTGTATGCAAATGCTCAAACTTGTTTCGTGATATAATCTACATATTTGTGACAGATTTCTGCCGATGGCGGTTACTGTGGCCTTCATGGGAAAAAAGTTTCCTCTTCTTTTCATTGATAGGAAGGAGGGAGAAAATGGAGATCAAACAAACAGGATTTCTGCAAACAATTATTGTTTGTCATGTGTACCACGCCATGAAAAATCCCTCACTGATTAAAGAAAGGTCACAATCAGAAAAATAACATGAGAATGTCATATTGACAACGAAGCGTTATCTCACTAATACCACTGTGCAGTAATCCGGATGCTATACTATCATCAGCTCCTGTGTCCTGAAGGACAAGAAATACGCTATTTGGTCCCTCTGGAATGCATGTGGTTCGTACTGTGGTGCTCTTATCAGATAAGATGGGACTGGATCCCCTAGTCAACACAGTGACTGCACTACTTTCCAAAAGAGTTGTAATTCATGGACATTATGGAGGTCCACTGAAGGATCAGCTGAAGATGTAAAATCAAAAACAAAAAAGACAAAGATGTTGGACAAAGATCATGGCATGAGTGAAAACATTTAATAACCTATTAAATCAAAAGTTTCCTCAGTTAGATAATGAAGACTTGTTGTCTTTGCCACCTTTGCTCTGGCTTCAAGGAGCTGCCAGTTGGAGCCTGAAAAGCTACGATAAACTGAACAAACAGCTTTTACTACAGTAGTTCTCTATGCTAATTAGCAAAATGACTGACAGTAGGTTTTATTTCTCTAAACATGCATCTGGTCATAACTTGTGGGCAAATTGGTGTACAAGTTGGATGTGTTTGCAATAAAACTGAATTGAACTCTGTTGAGAGAGTTTATGAAGTTTTAGTCAGTTCACACTGTGTTGCCCACAAGCTGCGGACCTCCAATATGGCTGCCAGAGGGTGTGTTACACCACCTGAAAGCTCTGTGGCCTCATTGAAATTGTCTTACTGCGCCAGGGTTCTACTAACACAACTTTTGTTCAGCCACGCGTGGCTAGGAGTATACCTGCCTGACGGCTGCCTGAACCAAATGACTGCTAGCATACCAACACGTCAGCAGCAATCCTTTGAAAGGCTGCTCTTTCCTCTCACAGAGTCTTTGCCCATTGCGCAACACAAAATGGCCCAAACACACACACACACACACACACACAGGATAACCTAAAGGAATACAGAGCTGCATGACCAGACCTTTTGGAGCCCATGTGTGTTGTTAGTGCGCTTCAATTCTTGCTTCCAACCCAGAGTCCATAATATGAACACACACACACACACACACACATAGTGAGAACACCACAATCTTGTATAATGCAGCACACTCTTATTCCAAACTTTGTACATGGTTGTCTATACATTCAAACCAAATTTCCCTCTGAAATCAGCAGCATATTTGGTATACTCATGAACAAAAAGACACTTACACACAACTCTATTGAAAACAAGGCACTACACAAGAAGTATTTGCTGTGGCACCAAGGAATGCACTGGAACAAATATGATACATTCTCCTGAATGCCACCATGAAACCATGCAGCCTTCCCGCTACGCTGTCTGATGTGCAGCCTGGGGGTAGGCCTCCTGGTGGGCTATATTTGGGGGAACATACAGAGTTCAGGTGAAATACCAGAAACAGCATGACACACATACACTGAAATTAGAGACAGGGTCAAAGCCACCATCCTCAACCCACCCCCACCCTCCCAAACACAAGACATGTAGTTCTGTGTGAATCAGCTGATAAGTGAATTTGTGCTACTTACGAGTTCTATGTCAGAGAGCATGTTGTGCCTTTTTGTTTTTTTCGGATCTGTTAATAAGCCGCTGTAGTTTTATATAACCTCTGCCAGTGTTTCTTGTGAGCCTCATACTGTGCAGGTAAAAATAAAAAAGTATGAATCAAACTGCTAAAGTCAATTTTAACCACAAAATCAAAAATATACACCACCATGTGCAATATGATGTGTTTATGTATGTGTGTGTGAGCTTGTGGCCTGGTTATGTATTTGCCCCTCCATAAGCCACCGGATCATGCACAAAACATAGGCCTACATGCACAAGAAAAAGCTGCAGTCTGGTCTCTCTCATTGTTGCACACTTCGATTTCCACAACACGGACTTTTGGCTTGTGAAAAAATTGTGAAATGCTATGATTTGCTGCTACTTTTGGTGATATTCATATTATTCTTTCATTTCTAATGGTTTTCAGATAGTACCTGTAGAGGAATCAGTTATATGATTACCATTTTTTAAAAACTGTCAGTCGTGGTTTCACCTGCACCTACCGTATTTGCATCAAGTTAGCATCAGCCTAATGTGTGGGGAGCATAGACTGTATAAAAGAAGTGGGGAGTGCCTGTGGTGTTGAATACACTTCTGTCAATATCCCCACTGAATGAGTCATTGAACCGGCAGTGACCTTTTGTCTTGAAAACACCTGCTCAGCAGAGAATAATAAATAGCAGAAGAAAATAGAACAGGTAAGGTCACATAAGGTAAATAAGGTCACATAAGGTAAATCTTTATTATCCCCGAGGGGCAATTTGTTGCACAGCCAGCGGTTCAATCAAGTAATGTCCCAGGTATGAATCCATTTTAACGTCTATCTATTCAAACGTCTCTGAACTGGCTCTGGCTGTCACTGTATTAGGCACCTGGGGAAATGAGAGGAAGGGAAGGGTGGATGGAAAGGTTGCTTTTCTCTGATGAATCATCTTCAGAAGTATAGACGATCTTTGTCAGCGGAGGGGAGCACCGTCGCCTAGCAACCAGCTAAAACAAACCGCACAGAGGCCAGCAGCGTTAGCCAGGGAGCTAACCAGCCCGAGCAGACTGAGCAGGATTGTTTTTCAGCGGAAAATATGGTGAAACAGACCATTCAGATATTTGGTCGAATTAAACCCTCTAAGAAAACTAAGGCGGTAAGTGGACAACTGAAACTCAGCGTTTAGCTAACGATATAACGTTACGGCAAGTAATTAAAATAAATGCTAGATAGGATGTATATAAGCTATCAAATGTTGCCGTTAAATGAACGAGACATCTTTAAATACAAATCTTCCAGGTTTATGGTCCATTACGTTATTTATCCCCGTTTAGAAAGGTATTTTCTCACGAAACAAAAGGTTTGAACTGCTAAAAAAATCAGCCTGTCTGGACAAAGCTATCGTTACTGATGCTGTGTTTACATTTTCTGACGTTACACTTTCAGAACTTTTCACTTTTTGTGCTTGTCATAGCAGAAACAGCACATGTGTAACTAATGCCATTAATAATGACATAATGAAAGTGATCAAGACTTTTTGATGCAGTGCCAGGGCCCGGGAAGTGGCACACCTGAAGGGAATGCAATGGAGTCCTTCTTACTACTGTTTTCAAATACACAACATTTGCACTGTAATGGGGTCTGTGTTCTCACTCCATACAGCAAGCAACCTGAAAATTCAGAAACACTGTAAAGTGAACCTTTTATAATATTAACTTACTAGGCCCTCTTTATTAGATACACATATGAAGAAGAAAAAAATCAATTTCCATGGGAAACACCCTGGCAGCACTTTCTTCTCCCTGAAGCCCAGTTTATTGTCTGAGCACAGCAACTATAATCATCAGATTACTTTCTCTGGCACGTTAGCTTGAGCTGACAATATCCAGCAGAATGAAATGAGCACAGCTACCTCCTTAGGGCTATTTGAGGTTCTGCACATGTCCATGTGAAGACAACAGAACAGTGGTGGTCAGGAGGAAATACTGCAGGAAGGGTGACCGTAAAAAACAACAACAATTCAGCCATTTAGGTGTTATCTTTCTTTCCTGGAACCCCGGGGAGTTGTTTTTGCATCAATGCCCATTGGAAACATACGCCACAACATATGTTGAAGCTTGAAAACATAGGGCGGGGGTGTTTCGATTGACCCAGCCAGCCTCACTTTAAATGCCCTCTGCTGCTAAGCTCAGTCTATATTGGTTTAATGTTCGACAGTTTTTCTTGTCTGAGACTTTTGTGAGCAGAGGTGAATGTGTAGTGCTTGCCTACACTCTACACTGGTCATGACTGATTGTTCACTTCTATTGCTTTCTGTAGGATAGGCTTAAATGCTTCATAAACTCCATCCTTTCATTTTGGAGCTTGCACTATCCAAACCACAAGTGGCTAAACTTACACTTTTGATTCAGCATGATATATTGTCATTGTGTTTAAGTTGGAATGCATGTATTGCACCACATACCACAACAACATACAAATCACAGAACATATAGGAGACTATTTCTTCAAAACAGTAGACTGCCTATGTGGCTACTCTCAAAATTAAATTAGCCCTCTACCATATCCTGTGATAATAAACAGTAGTCTATAGGCCTTGTTCCACTGTAGGACTAACTCTACTGTTGTCTCTGGCTCCCTCAGGTGTACTCTGTGGACAATGAGGAGAAGAGAGGTGCTTTTCTAGAGTTTGTGGTGCCCAGGGACCTGGCTGATGGCTTCGTTAACAACAAGAGGGAGTGCTACAAGTTCAGGTAAAATGTCAGGTAGCCAATTTGCTTAATTTCCTAATCAGCCAACTCATTGTTTAATTCAACCGGTGGGGTCTTTGAAGTCCACCATAATAATTTACATCTCATATAGCCCGTGAAAGCTTGTATATTTGGTGTTCTAAATAACCTTAGAAGGGGTCTCTTTTGTGAGACCAATCTCTGATCTGTTTGTATATAGAAAAAAGATTAATAAGATATATAAATGCATGCAGTCTATATGTAGTGTATTTTAATGTATAATTAGCTACTATCTTGCAGAAGTGGGTGCATCAAAACAATGATGATCTGTTGTGCTAAAATTGGGAAAAGCAAGAAACCAACCACTTCAGCTCCTGATTTCAGTCATGCTTAAGAGTGTCAATGAATGAAGGCATAAAGATAACATTCAACATAGAGGAAGGTGTGCTGTCCATGCTCTCAAGATTGCATAAGATTTTTTTCCATGAATAATTCATCCACCAGTTCTGTCACTGCAGAGCCACAACATCTGTTTAACGCTGATGGTGAAAGCTGCAGCCTTATATACCCTCTGGGCAGGGCCCATGCCATGCTTCCAAGCCCTAAATTCACAGTTAGGGAGTCAGACAGCAGCGGACACAAGCCTTTGAAAACCACAGTCTTAAATTAGCCTGTGGAGGTTCCCTTGTGCCCTTATAGAAATACAATTTCCACATTTAACAGCCCTTCCTGGGCGGATTCCTCTCACAATGCTCTCATCTATCTGTGGGATAAAACATGAGGGGTTGAGACTGCTTTAGAAAACAGAATGACTAAACTCCTCCTCATCCACTTGGGCAATTAAATTGACTGTTTTTGTGCTTATTCAGTACTGCTGTGGGTAACCTTGTTTAACCTTGGACATTTAAGTTGTTTTTTTTTTTAAATATTGTCTTTGTTCTTCTCACTTTTGTCCAGGTTCCAAAAGGTCTTTGATCACACAGTCAAACAAGACGAGATATTTGAAAACATTGCCAAACCAGTTGCAGACAGGTAAAATCTTACTGACACTGTACTATTCAATGCAGGGTGTCTGTGATTCTTGTCGTGCTTTACACACTTAAACCACTACGCGAACTGAGCTAGTGGGTAAGATGGCACACTCACCATCGTTCACCACCATCATCAGAACATTTTCAAGCCGTAACACAGAGCTATACCTGCTCTAAGATGAAGCTTTATAATTGGATATCTGCAGAAATTTCAATGTCATGCATCCCTACCAGATTTATATAAATTATTATTTCATTTAATTTATTATTATGACTATTCTGATTCGGTTTAATAAAAAAGCAGTCGTTAGTAATAGATGCTATGCATTTTTCCATCTCCCAGTCAGCAGAATTGTGCCTCAGTTATGAAATTCAGTTCCTATGCTTCTTTACCTCTCAGACACCTCTACACACAAGGAAAATCGTAGTGTCTGTCAGAGCTTCACCCCTTGCCTAGACTTGATCTAAATCAGGACTGATTCCAAAAGAGAAAAAGCCAAGAGGAGAGAGAATTTACTTGGAATTTCCTGTGATCAAATGTTGGTTGTGCTGTTGTTATGTGAACACGGTTCTTCCTCTCCTTCCTCAACATTCCACCCCAGTCTTCTTAGTCACAATAGGGGCTATTTGTAGAATCCCACAAGTGCTTTGCATTATCTTTGCAATTAGAAGACATATAAACAAATTCTGAGACGTCTGGATTGGCCTTGGATGTGTTTGACCTGACTCACACGGGTTCACTAACTTGGGTATGAAGTTGCCCTCCACAGCAAGCCTTTTAACAGTTCCCCCTTTGTTGTGGCAGATGGTGAACATCAGGCTAAAAATGTCTTTCACAACCAGGCTGATATGTCTTAACGTATCAATTTGAGCTTGGTGTCTTTTAGTTTTTGATATGACAATGATGTCTGCAGCCTAGAGGACACTAGTCATCGTGTCTCGCCATGACCAGCCTGTCTCCCCAATCAGATGTTTATTGGTCTGACTTTGAGTTTCTTGCCCCCCCGCAGGATGCCCATTTTTTTCACTATATATTATGAAATCTACAAAGTTTTAACTTTTTAAATTCAGTCTCACCACAGTGGCTAAAAGACAAGAGTAAACGGAGTGAAGAATTCTGCCCCTTTTCATACTGGAATAAGTTGCCTTCAAACACATTCTCAAGACGTAGGCCCCATACCTTTCCTACAGAGTTTAGTGAAAGATTTTTAAAGGCACTCTAGCTGGGATTGACCTAGAGTGTGCTGATAACTGTTAAGCTTATGTCGATATTGACATGGTCCCAGTTACAGAAGCACGTCTGGTCACAGTAATCACAAACAGAATCAAATTTGGATTGACAGAACTTTTTTCCTGAAGCCCCAGTAGTCAGGAGACGTTTTTTTCAGGTTTAGTCAGGGGTCACATACAATCGCAGCCGTTTTGCTGTCATTGCACTAAAACTCAGTTTCATGCACGTAGGCGCCTATCCTCTCAAATACCAATAACTGTCAGGTCGTTGTTTTGGTTGGTACTCTGTCACACTTGGCGCACCTCAAGTTTAACCAAAAGCTCTAACTCGTTTACTTGCACACTAGTCTCTGTCTCTGCTGTGGTGTAACTGAAACCAGTCATTTCAACCCCAACACAGTAGTTTAAAAACAAACCAGCATTAACAGCTCCACGAGAGGAAGAGCCAATGGAATGATGGTGGGCTGGCAAGGCAAACTATCTATCTGCATTATAATCCCATTTCATAAGGCTGAAACCTGCAGCCCAAGTTCAAAGACGAATGGAGGTATGTTAAGTTTTATCCTTATTCTGGTTACCTTAATAGACTGAATATACTGTTTCTTATAAAAAGAACAGGAAGAATCTTTTTGGCGATGAGTTGCCAGTCTCCAGGAAACCTGAGGTGTAGAGAGGAACAAGTGTTGGGAGATGCCCAAGCCTCAGTGGCAGGGCCGAGACCTCATCATTAGCACTGACATAAAACTTAAACACTGAGCCTGTGTCTTTTCTCCAGACACAGTCTCTGCCCTCACTGCCATGACTCACGCTAGATAGATGGACATTCAATGGCCGTCCAAGTCAGACTAACCAACCACCGTTCTCATGAGTGAACGTAGTGTTTTATATAAACTGACATGCAGTTTTTTCCCTCGCCCTCCTGATGCAGGGAGTACAGCACACAGGACCAACAGCCAGCAAACACTGTCTTGGCAATTACACTAGAATGAGGCTTAAGTTTGTTTATAATTCATCCTGAAAAATATAGCGTAAAGATATCCTTTTCCTTGAGATTGGCGTGTCAGAAAACACAGGGTTTATCCTCACCTTTGATCCCAGCTCGTGTGTCAGAGCCTCCTCTATCATTTTACTATTTAGTCCTGGTTTATTTCCAAGACTACAGAACAGGAGTCTTTTTATGCCAATGTATCCTACCATCACAGTACCATCATATTGGATGTTCATTTCATTCAAACAGAACTAGATACCATCGGTTTCCACGACCATGTGCACGTGCAGAAGTGCACTTTAGTGCCAAACCAAAATTTACCGGGCCCTGCCTAGTTGAGTGGGTTTGGGCCCTTTCCTTCACTCATACTCCGAGACATTCCTCCCTCACCGGCGGATTTGTGTCGCCAGAGCAGTTCTCCACTCGCTGCCATCTTTTCCTGTGGATTTAAAGTGTCAGATTCAATTCACTCAGATGTTGGTGTCTGCTCGGGGATATACTTGACAGTATTTTGCACTCTTGCAAATTAAGACAGTGATGTCATAGGAGGCACATGATGTGAATGAGAAAACTGAAAATTGCTTTTCCTTCCACTGTTCAATCAGTTATCTGCAGCCCATTTTGTTGTTTGGTTTTTGATTTGGTTTAGCCGTCTTTAAAAGGGTACTACTGTAATCACAAACTGTTTATTATGTTTGCTCTTATCTATTCTTATATTCTCATGGCCTTAGAGTAACATAATATTCCATTACCAGTGCAGACAAGTGCTGTTCCAAGAAGGGCTACTGTAAAATATAAGGTTTTTTTAAACGTGCTATGCTATGGTCAATTGGCCAATCAGTACAAATTGGACAGGTAAAATTTATTGAAATTGTGTATTCAGTGTGCTTATCTGCTTCTTATAAAATATGAAAAATAGATAACATGCAGTGTATATTCTTGACATTGTCATAGACTTTATGTTCTTGGTGTTGATGAACTTGTCTGCTAGTTTGATATATTTATGTGTTTTTCCATTCAATAATTCAGACAAACTCCTCATTATGGTTGTTGCATTCTTGGAAATCGCTAGCTTAAGTAAATATCCATAATAGGAGAAAAATACTACAAGACACAAAAAGATATTTAACAGTGTGAGGATCTGTTATTGATAAGATTGCTGTAGATACTGTACATGAGTTTATGTTGCCCAGGGCCGACCACTGATCTCAGGCAATTAAATTAAACCTTTAATTTGAAAGGTTTTGTAAATATAGACTTTTGTGGTCATTACAGGTGTGTGTGTGTGTGTGTGTCTTTGCAGTGTATTGGCTGGCTATAATGGCACCATATTTGCCTATGGTCAGACGGGAAGTGGGAAGACCTTCACCATCACGGGAGGGGCCGAGCGCTACAGTGATCGTGGCATTATTCCCCGTACCCTTTCCTACCTGTTTGAACGCTTCAGCCAGGTCAGCACAGCAGGGTTGGCTTGTTTTTTCAATTCATTTAGGGCACTGGTACATGTAGCCCACACGCATTGATCCATATAAGAACAATGTAAAATAGTATGCTACTGGCTCTCATTTCTCTGTGCCGTAACGCTTCTAAATTACAATTTTTGATTTAAAAACTAAGCTTTCCATTTTTATGCACCCAGTCCAATTTAACATACTTATTACCCCACAGGACAGCAGTACGGTTTATTCCACACACATCTCCTACCTGGAGATCTACAATGAGATGGGATATGACCTTCTGGATTCCAGACATGAAGCCTCTCGACTGGAAGACCTACCGTTTGTTTATTTGTTTTTATTGTTTTTTTTACTGTAACCTTTGCTACACTGATGCTACAGACATCCAGTTACATTTGAAAAATGTCAACAGTTAGATATTAGCAGTTAGACAGTATTTCGCTATACATCACTTATGAGTTGATGTACCCACTTATTTTAAAGTTGAAAAGACTAATCATCCCTGATTCCATTATTCTCCCAGACACTTGTGGGTTTAGCCGAGTCTCATTCTTGAACAGCCATTTGTCAGCCTGGCCCGGAGTCAGTGTGTGGTGAAATATGGAGACTCTAGCATTTACCACCTCACTTACAAACTGCCAAGTGACATAATGAGACTGTGGGACAGCCATGGATGTGGTCAACCTGGTGGCAGATTCTGGCACTGGAGTGGAGAGCAAGAGGGTCATGTGGAGAAATAGTTCTTCATAGCTAGTTGCTGCTGCAGCCGGTCTTAGGGAGAAAAAATTCTGTCCATCTACCTTTTATTCTCACTCATTTGTTTGTTGTCCTTTTTTTCTTCCCTCTCTGCCCTTGCCCTGTCTTTGAGAATGACTCTCACTTCCTCACTGTTCATGCTATTTCATCTGGCTTCATTCTTTCTTTCTTTCAGTCTGTCTTTGTAATTATAAATTCCATCTGTCTGGAGGTTTGACAGTGTATAACCTTAGTTTTCTTTTTTTTGCCTTTTTTGTCATACTCAATACTTATTCATCCAGGAGCGACATCGTCTTGGTACATCATTTTGGTGTTTGTCTTGTATTTTCTTGTACCAGTTCCATGTAAGTTTTTTCTCTCCTTTCGCAGAGGATCCAGCTCAAGGTTTTGATACCCACAAATGACAGTCTTCTGGAAATAGACAGTGCCCGTTGTTAACCATGCTGTGGCTACACTTGCTGATTCAAGGAGATGCTGTGGCACTGACAAATTTCTCTCTTTAACCGTTGGTCTGCTTCTGTCTTTCACTGCCTGTCCCTTCTCTTCTTTCTGATGTTCTCGCCCTAATTTCTTTTCTTGTTTTACTTCTTCTGGTCGCCATCTGTGCATTATTTCCACGATGCGTTCAGCATTCCATCCTCTGAAAAAGTCTCTAAATTATCTTGTAAATGAATTCAACAAATCTGTGTAAAAACACAATAATCAAATCCTATTATGAGTTGGCGGGGCTGTTTGGGAAAATAACCTGCCAGGGCACAGGCCTTTAATCAGATTAAGATTAATACTGTTTTATCAGACTACCTCAATTAATGATCTGCATGTGTTTTCCAGTCATTCCACCCTCTTTGACATCTCAATCCAGTAGCCTTGCTGTCACAGCCCCGGTGGTGTGATGGAAATGATATAGTAGGAGTATATTATAGGAGTCATTTCAGCATACACTGTTTCAGAGTGCTTGATGTAGGCAAGAACCTGTTTGTTTTTAAAAGCAAGCCCTGTCTGTTATCAAGTTATGAACTGCTGCATAGATAAAGCACATGTGTCAAACTGGGTCACAGCACACACTGACTCGCAGATGTGGTTTGTTTGGATTTAGAGCTGAATGAGGCCAAGGCGATGGTAGGGAAATGGATGACATAACGGACATAATTAGTCTTTCGTAATTGCTTCAGTGTTGGATTATTTGGGGTTTGCCTGGATTTGTCCCGCTTTGTCATCTTCTACTCATAATTTCAAGTGAATTTATTACGCTGGGATTTTTTTTAACAACATTTTTTTTCTTTTCCAGAAAAGTAATGATCATGGAGGATCCAGACCAGAACATCCATCTTAAGAACCTTTCACTGCAGCAGTCAGCAAATGAGGAGGAGGCTCTGAATCTGCTCTTCCTGGGTGACACCAATCGTATGATTGCGGAAGTAAGAAAGAGGGAAACACATGCTTCTGTAGAGATGTTTGATTGAAATGATTCCCACTTCACACACCATACATGTAATGTTTTTAGTTAGGATTGTGGACAGTATGCAAAAATACATGACCACTTCCAGGGTAAGTGGCATAAAGGGTATTCTTTGTCCACAAATGCAATATGCACTCTAAAGGCTACCTTAAGACCCCTCTAAAATATTATTTTTGTCCCCTGTGGTCCCTTTTACCATGTTTTTTCCCCAGTAAAACCGAGCATTCTCTCTGTAATTTCTGTTTATGTTGCGGTGGTTCTTTTCTACACTCAGACACCCAGACTCCCCACGCTGATGAGACATGTTTGGGTCAGCTTTTGATTTGCAACCTGAGGTTTGGAGCAAAGAAGCTAAGCTCACCTTGTTTACTAGCTTGTAAGTAAATAACAGACAGTAAAAGTGAGCTGGATAATCAGGTTTCAGTCAGAGACTTACTTTTCATTTTTGACGAGTATTGATGTGGCTGGGACTTTTCCATGAAACAAAACCAATGTAGAAGAAATCCAAGATGGAATTTTTCTGGAACTCAGAAAATGGGTTTAGTAGGTAGAATCCTAAAACATAGCTTTTGTAATGTATGATTAAACGTGTCTACCAAGTAACATACATAATCCACTCAACAAAGCCCATTGCCAAAACAATATTGCATTTGTTTTTCATCCACCTTGAGGATCCACTCCCACGGTCCACTGCTGTAAAACCCAGGGGTATATTTGAGTGGAAACACATTCTTGGTTGCATTAGTCTGTTGATCAGGCAATCAAGGCGCTGCACAGTTCAGTGGGGAGACCACTGCACAGTCCGCCCACACCAAGACTTGTGAATCCGTCCTCTCTGGAACTTCTTCACAAGAAGATATCTAGAAGGTTTCTCTTGAGCCCCAAGCAAACAAAGAAGTCAATATGTCACTGCCAGAATCACCCCAGAAGTCCTTGCTCCACAGAGACTTGTGATAAAGTTAACAGTAATGCTTTCTTTCTTCTCTTGCTCCCAGCCGTGTGGATAAAAGATGACACATCCGTTCACGCCACACTCAGTCGACGATGAGCTCACTCGCTTTGAGACTTTGCAATGCTCTCTGCACTTTTATTGGACAGGAAATAAAATACACCTTTTCAACTCCTCACCCTTCAACCTCATCAAGAAACGTTTCTTCCCATCTGGGAGTCTTTTTTTCTGCGTCCCTGTTTCACTTCTTGTCACATGTGGGGATGCGAGGCCTGCATATTTCCCCCTGTCTACATCCTAACTCCCTCCCGAACATTTAGGGGTGAGTAGGGTGCATAGCAGGTGGTCCAAATGAAACTTCACTCTTAATCTTTTGAATCAGCAATCTCTAAGTGTTTTGGGGTTTGTGGCACCAGATTGATCCTTTATGCTGACCCAGTGCAGCGCTGTGTGTGGTCAGCATGTGGTGCACTTAAGATCAACATGTGGTCAATTGAGAACACAGAAGACTAAAGGAAGTGACTCCAGTGTGGTTGCATTGTCTTGCTGCTTTTTCAAGACATACTTGTCCCCATGTGCACTCTATTTCCTCTGTGGACATGAACACACATAGTCAGTAACCAATTCATTATACATACTGTACTTGATTCCTAAAGAAACCTTTTATATAATGTCTGCTGATATCAAAATTAACTTATTGTGTTGCACGCTGCACCCACATCTCAGAATTTACCTAAACTGTCTCTCGGGTGGTGCTCAGTCTTGATAAATGCTATGGTAAGGACACAATAACACATAAATAACAGTCACCTCGTACCTATTTTCCATAACCGCTGGTATCGATTTCCACTGTAGTACATACATTAGCAGTCACAGAGAGGTGTTTCTGTTCTGTTATTCAGCTCTCTCCTTGATGAGCATGGGGTGGACAAAATAATAGAAGTGCCTGTCAGTAAAACGCAGTACAATGCAACAGCAACAGCAACTGCATCCTCCAAAATGATCATAAAGTTGAATCAACAATGAATTATTATAACAAAGTACAAATCTATTGTAGGACTGTTGTATTAGACTGCATTAGTTTTATCTAAGTGTACCTAATGAAGAGCCAACTTAGTGTATTTACTGCATGTATTGTATGTATGTATATATGGGCAATATACTGTTAATACTTTAATGCATGAGCAGTAAATTTGTGTCATGGGTTTAAACAATTTTCTGAGTTGAATCCTGAATGTAAAAAAAAAAAAAACAAGCGTACACATTTACATACATTCTGAAGCTTAGTGCAATATTGGATATAGTTTTAATGTATGAAAAATACACACTTAAGCATATTAATGTTAAAACTATCAAACATATGGATATCTCTAGCTGGAATTGCATAGCACCAAGAACTTGTCTGTACATCCGTCGATGCAATAAATGCAACACACTTTACTGGGTCTCAAAACACCTGCTGGCTGTCTGGAATTTGACAAACACACAGCGTAGGCCAGCATTAATTTTGGTTGATGTTGGTCGGTGTGAAAAATAGCTGTCAGGGGTGAGACTGTAATACTAATTCTTCAACGTGGACCCTAAGTTCTTACCTTTGACCAGTTATTCAATCCTATTATGTGTGTGATCCCTTTTTAGCATCTAAGGGCTGTGTCATAGGACTTAAAGGGAGACCCTGAGGAGCAAACATGGATGTGTGCAGAGTGATTAGAATTTGGACTGAGGAAAGAGATGATAGCAATGGGTTAAGATAGTGAAAGATCTGTCATAAGCTGTCATGACCCTAAGAGGCAGGTGTTGGCACATTTAAGCCAACAAGAAGTCGGGGTCAGGGCACATTTTTAGAATGAATGATCTGGAATGTCTATGATGATGTTTTCGAGCAGAGAGAAAAAATAAGTCATGTCCATTATCTTAGATCAGTGGCCATTCCACAGAAGAAAGTTCAGCCTTGACCAGAAGCTAATACAAGTCAAGTCCACTGTCCACTGTTCTAATTAAAAGTTGTTATTTAAAACCATCATGTTCAAGTTGCCTACATGATATGGCACAAACAAAAGAAAACAAAAAGGAGTCTATTGCTCTGTTTCTCTCTCTGAGTAACCCATACTCCTTTAGTTAATAAAGCTTGTTTGTGCAAAGTGACTCATACTCTATTTCTGTCTCCTCCTGGTCTCAACCTGACTTCTGCTGTTCCAGTGACCATCTGAAAATCAACCTCAGCTTTTGTAAAGCCGCCACCATGTGTTTACTGCTCATCGGTTACACATGGTGTGGCTTTGATCTTCAAACCAGCGGGAGCAAGAAAAAATAAGAATCAAAGGAAACATGTTTTTTTGTTGTTTGAATATGGAGAGTACCGCAGATGGAGAATAAAAATTCCGCTTTTGTGTCCACCATGTGTACCAATTTTAGAGGATTTAGAATACTCTAAAATAGACCTAAGATTATCACAGCATTTTCAAAATGTTCTCTCACCACTCTTCTCTCATCTCCAGACTCCAATGAACCAGGCATCCACACGTTCACACTGTGTTTTCACTGTGCACTTGTGCAGGCGTGAGCCGGGCTCGGCCACCCTGCGGCGCTCCAAGCTCCACCTGGTGGACCTGGCTGGATCAGATAGAGTTAGCAAGACTGGCCTGAATGGGCAGCTGCTCACTGAAGCCAAGTACATCAACCTCTCCCTCCACTACTTGGAGCAGGTAGCCACTTCTGAAACTATGTTTTCATTTAAAATAACATATTGTGCGTTTTAATATTTATAGTATATTTGATATAAATTTGCATACAATACATTTTCTTTGTTCTTTGAATTGGCACAGCAAGTTTAATCCTTTCCACCATGAGAAAAAAAACTGTGTATTCTGCTGATTCTACTTTATTTGTTCAGTCTACAGAATTTCATTTACATTTTCTTTCAGACATTATGTTACAATCAGACATTCATTTGCTTCCTCCATCTCTGTCTTGTTTTATACATCAGCCCTTTTCACTGCTCTCTTCTTCAGGTGATCATAGCTTTGTCAGAGAAGAACCGCTCCCATATTCCTTACAGGAACTCCATGTTGACTTCTGTGCTGAGGGACAGCCTTGGGGGCAACTGCATGACTACCATGATTGCCACTCTGGCAGTGGACAAGAGGAACCTTGATGTAAGGATAGTCTGCGTAGGACCTTGTTTGGACAGAATATTCAGTTAGATAAGGAGAAACAGGGTTTCGGAGTGAAACAATGTTTGATCTTGCTAGCTTGCTCTGTCAGTGCTGACTATACATTTTCTCTTCTGAAACCTCATCTGAATTCTCTGTGTATTTAAACCATGCAAAAACAGTGTTTACATGAAATAGTATCATACAGTATATTCTGCTTCATAGAAACTAATGAAAAGCAGTGCATTGTGAAGCAAGTATAGATTATGAACATTTTGTCATCTTTGTTATATGCATTCACTTAAGTAAATGTATCATTAATTACGAAGGAATAATTAGGAGTAATAGTCTTCAGTCAGGCAGAAAAACGAAGTATGAAACATTTTCTTTAAACTGTTTTCTTCAGGAGTCCATCTCTACGTGCCGCTTTGCTCAGCGAGTGGCTCTCATCAAGAACGAGGCTACATTGAATGAAGAACTAGATCCTGCCCTGGTGAGACGGCCAGACACTTACAGAACTTCACCAGTCACTACAAATACCATGGCTTAGCCACAGAGTCACACCACAGAGGCATGACTTAATGTGCTGTTTCATTATGGCCAGACCCTCCTCATAGCTTCCAGACCTTAAATTGATCAGCGAATGAGTTGTAGCGAGAATCCAGCTTCTAAATGTAACCCACCATGTGCTTAAGTGTCCTCTTTAGGTTTCCAATACCAAATTAGTTTTTCCAGTGTCAGTCATTCTAAAAGAAGCACTTTTCCACCTTCAGCACAGGGATGCCTGTCAGTCTTGTGTTATTTAAACCGCTCACAGGTCCTTGTTGCATTCCCTCTCTGTCCTGTTTACATGCCTCCAATTCTGTTATGGCATGTTTTATCCCAGTACCTTACAACCTCTTGAGAAAGCATCCAGCTGGAGACTGGTGTGTATATATGGCTTTACACACATTCATGCGAGGAAATCACAAATTTGCACGCATGGAGCCAAATAGAGTAATTCATACCCAAATGTTGCAGATCTGAGGACATAGTGTGACAGTTTTTAAAATGAGAGTGGCCAGTCTGTTTACTTTCATTGTATTTTGTGTCTGGATACTATGAATACGTTTTTTATTTTGGAGAAGAGGCCAGAGAAGGAGATGTAGAAGAAAGTTTTGATGAGAATAAGTCCTTGGATTGTATGTGGTTCTTTCTTTTACATAGACTGCATACATTTTTCCACATTTGCCTTTTGTTACATGTTGTTATACATTACAGTACATAATGCCTTATAGGAAGTCACATGAGAGATTTCCTGAGCATTTTAGCCAAGTTAGCCCTTGATAATGGGTTTGCTGCCTTACCTTCTCTTTTTACAATACTTGTAACACCTTCCCCTAATGTAGTGTGCAAGGAAGCAGACCTGGTAGTCGTTGTAAAGGCCCCTCGGGGGATATACTGTACAGTAGTTAGTCATCACAGCTATATCCGCTTCCTCCCCTCCCACCATGACCTGCCTCAGGATCAACTGCTACTGTATTACTGCTACTGAGACTTGGCTGGCCACTTGCAAACCCTACAGAGGTATTTTTAAGAGAGTCTGCGGCCAGCCCAGTAATTGTGACAGTGTCTGGCTGCTCCCAACTGGGCCCGGCACAGTTGCAGCTCCAGGCAAACCCAAACTCCATGGGCAAATTTCTTGTCTCTGTTTATGACTTTTTAGTGTGTTTCTCATTTTGTTCATCTCTCCCGTCTCTCCCTATATCTTTCTTCATGGTTTACTGAGAAAGAGTTAAGCCAGCAGTGCAGTTTGCAGATTAGAATGATGTCATTTTTTGTGGTTTGGGGTGACACTCTGACTCTCATTCTTGGCCTGGCCCGTCTCAAGGCACACTGTCTATTGGACATGCTGCCTGTGGTAATTGATTTTAAACCTGGACTTTGCTTTTCACAGTCTTGCAGTCAGTGTTTGGTGCATTGTTAAGACCACACACTGCCTTAATAGTCCTATACTGTAGCCTACAGGCTACAAAATGCACTTCTTAAAAGCCTGAACAGCAGGAATCCAGCTAGACCAGACAAAACAGTTAAGAAGTCTCTCATGGACAAAGAAAGAATGAAGTGTTGAAAGTGATCTGCGATCATAATGACGTCAGCCACACAGGCTACACCATATAAGGTTGGCTCTGTTGGTTGATCTAAGAGCGCTTAGGTCAGTCCTAATCCTCTGTTTAGACCAGCCTGTTCCTGATCCTGGACTGTAGTCAGTGGAAATTGTCAACAGTTATTGGATCTGTCTTCCAAGAGGCTTCCACCACCTCACTGTAGCTTTTGTCTTAAGTGTGTACTTTGTGTGCAGGAGTGCTTAGTTTGAGTTGAGCTGAATTGCCATCAAACTTCTTTCTGTAATTCTTAAAGGGTCTAAAACGTCGATGCACACAGCGTCTTGCTTATGAAGACGGTTCTGATTTGCGCATACCTGTGAGTCAAACAGTGATAAAAGACCGTGCCCACAGTGGGAAACTATGACTCCTCTTCCTTCATTAAAAGAGGCCCCATAATAGCTGTATGTTTGTGAGTGGCATACTGCATATTACATGTGCATTTTAGGTGTAACCTGTGATTATACTGCAGTGTGTACAGTTTACTGTGGGTGGGTTTATGCGCAGGATGGATATATATATTCAAGAAGATGTATAATTTAAAGTTAGGACTGTTTCAAACCTAATTGTGTAACATGTAAATGTAGTGTTGCTTTTTCCTTCACCGTAACATTTTGCATTGCTACACTGACATTGGTTTTCCATAGGATATGCCGGCATCATCAGTCACAGAGCCTGAGTCAGTTTTTATTCAGAGAGTATGGAAGCCTGTCACGGCGCTGTGGTACCAGCGTGGGCTCGGTGCTCTGAAATAGACTGCATGATTCTGCTGACCAACAACTGGCGGTCAGCTTTTCAGGATGCAGCTGGGAGAATTACATCAGACCATGGCTTCCAAAAAATAGATACAGGGAGCGGCTCTGGGGAGGGATGGTCAGCAATGATGTTCAGTGTTAAAAAATATGATATGGGGTGGATTAGAAATGAAATTTTTGTTCAGCTAAGTGGCACCTACCCAAAACCACACTACAGGTCTGTTTCTTCTCAATAGCATCTTGACTTGATGATGTCTGATGGTTTGACTGGTTTTGACTTTACAGTTAGAAGATGTGTTTGAAGTGGCGGTTCTTTGCTAAGCTAGATGACCTTTAACCTTGATTTAGTTTTCACTGAACTTTGGCTCCCTAGCATCTTAGTGTCAGGGGTGTCGCTGTGTGACTCTGGCACACGGTCGCCACTTTCTGTCGTATTTGCTCTTTGCCACTGAGACGTTCCAGCCTTTCAGTCTGCTTTAGCATTTTGCGGTGTGGTCAAATTCAGTGGTGATTGTTAAGTGGGATTTATACTGAAGAAAGAAGTGGGTCATCTGAGAAAAAGAACAATTGCCACTTGTTTTTTTAGGTGGTTTAGTGTGTTGTTTTGTGGTGTGATTTGTGCAGAGTTTTTATTACAACTGGTCTGGCTTTCTTTCAATAACTACACCATCCATTGATTTTGGTGTTGGCCTGTTTTCCCTACCATTAACATGTAATTACACGTCTCTGTTTAGATGTAATTCTCTTGTTGGACTGATTCCCCTTTTTCAAGGCATTTGGCAAATGAGTACATGCCCAATTAACATCTTGAACCTCTAGCTGCAGAAAACCAAGCTATAGGTTTTATGAGGTTAATCAGTCCTTCTGGGTTGTCTGTATGTGGCACCTTTCACATTTAATCATGGCACCTTAAGTTCAAGTTATGGCACACTGCTCAACATCAAAATAAGGGCAAATGTCAAGTGGCTCACCTCTGACCTCTTGCTGGTATGGGTTAAGAGATTTAGGATTTAATCCCACTTCCCTAATAGGTCTGTTGCACAAACAACAAAGAATGAAGTACGAATTGTTAATTTCACCAGCATTACATTTCCAAACAAATTACATTTGTATTGATAACCTGGCAGCAAGTCACACTGAATCAGTCAATCCAAATTGTACATCTCATTGTCAGTGGAGCATTAAAATACAGCCAATGCACCAATTTCAAATGGTTCTGTCCCGTCAGAAGAGCTCATCAGAATCAGTTGCCACTCCTACATGCATGTAATGCCACTTCATCTATGAGCTGAACTCACTAATCCTTTAGGTTCTAGGTAGCTAGACGCCAGCTGATCCTTACCAAGACTGACATGAGGCCACTTAGGCTGACCTCTCCAGGCATGGATCCTTTCAGCAAGGGAGAAGAGAGAACCGCACGCTTATCTCCAAAGATTAAAGGTTATATGCCAACAAGGCCAAGGCCTGACACATTTGTGTTGGTGCATTTTCTTTTAATGCCTTATATAGCTTTTTGTCATATACTCTGTTCATAGAAGTGGCTGTCTCAGACCTACCTGTGCTCAACAAGTGGAGAATGCAGTACCTGGGGGTATTAATCAGTGGAACGATGAATTAGATTGTTTATAAAAAACATCCTGCGCCCGTCACGTCGTCTCTCCTCTGATCATGTTTTTTTGACATTAACAGACCATCTAGCTGTTTTAGGTTGTTTTTTTTCTGTAAAGATCATCTAAGTACATATTTAAGAAGCAGTGTCTGGACTTGGTGAGATATTTAGCTTTTTTATATATACAGTAACCAGACCAGGACAGCGGTTACTAATGGCAACCAGCCCGTTGGCCCAGTGTGCAAGGATCAAACACGTGTGGACAGACAGCAGCAGAAAGTTTTATGTGTTCTGTTTTGCCACCGTAGATGTTTAATGCTAATTTATGTTTTGCTTCCTGCATTTGCTCGCTGGAGTATCCAGTTGTCTGGAATCACTTAAGTTTGCCCTCATAATGCATCAGTAAGATAAGCCGCAAAATCATTTTCAGAAGGATTGTCTCATCGGTTGGCAGCAGCAGAAACCCTCTGTTTGTATGCGCCTGTGCGTGAGTGTATGTCTTTTGTTTTCTACTGCTTTGTTTTGTGCTTTTTTTTACATTGTGTGTATGTGCACATACAGTAGACCTCTAGCCCCGCTTTCTATCTGTATTTCAGCTAATAGCTCGTTTGAAGAGGGATATCCAGTCTCTGAAGGAAGAGCTGGCCATGGTGACAGGAGAACAGAGAGATGACCAGCTAACTGTGGAGGAGATCCAGAAGTAAGTCACTTCTTGTTCCCGGATTCCTCGTCCCTTCAGTCCTGTCAGTCTCTCAACGCAAAATAGATATTATGTCCTGTGGTGATATCTCCAGATTTACAGATGAGGGTGACAACAAAGTCGCTCAAAGTTGAATTAAATCAGATGAACTGACATGATGCCGTTTGCCACAGGATCTTGGGTTGTACTGTGTGTGTGTGTGTGTGTGTGTGTGTGTGTGTGTGTGTGTGTGTGTGTGTGTGTGGTGTGTGTGTGTGTGTGTGTGTGTGTGTGTGTGTGTGTGTGTGTGTGTGTGTGTGTGTGTGTGTGTGTGTGTGTGTGTGTGTGTAATGATGTGACCTCAGTGAGCCAGTCATCTCAGGACAGTGCAGATGTGTATACAGTAGAGCTGTGTGCCCCCTCAGCCTTCTAGGATGTTTACAGTGCGCCTCATACCCAGGGAAAAGAGTAGATGGTCTTTTTTTCCGACTCTAATTTGTATTTGTAATGCTAAAAACCCAGACATTCTTGAGCAAATAGGTTTTATCATTTATAAGCATTTGGGGTTTTCCTAAAGTGCCTACAAAACATGCAGTTGTACAGGCACCTAGGCTTAACCAGATCTAATGGAGTTTCCCAGGACTGCTTCATTTCTGCTCTCACACTCAAATGTTAAAGAGACCCAGTCAGTCAGGGCCAGAGTTCAGGCGAGAGGTTCCATCATGGACTTGGCATATCGCCCGTCCAGTGCTGATGTATTTACGGCGCCTTGGCCCCCTCAGTCCGTCTTTTTATTATTTCCTCTAGGCTGGTGATTATCCGCGATTTCCCCGTTTGTGGTGAGACTCACACAGGGAACCTTAATGATGTCTGTTGTGACCACATTTTCTGGACATGCTGACTTTTTTCGTTGCTCCGGTTTATCCCTTGACTCGTCCCCAGTGCTGTGTGATTGCACATAACCTGGCTTATTTGTTGTCACATTTCCAAACACGTATATCCACAGGCATCCACATTTTTGCCTTTTCAAAAGACTGTTCTGCTGCCTTCAGTGCTTTGTACGATTCAGTATAAGTCCATTCTCATACAAGATGAAGTAAATTAAAAATTATTTTTCTAAATACAGTATTAGTTTGCTACATTTGCTACATAACATATCACCTCACACTTTAGAAAAAACATTTGAAAAATTTCAAATCCTGGCAGTTTTTTCTCTCACAAAATATTGTACATGGTATTGAATGGCACTCTCCAGAATCAAACTTTGTAGCACAAACCACTGATGTCTCGCAGGGCCCTGAAACAAGACCACTATGTTTGTTTTAAGTCCTTTGTCATGTAAACCTGGCGTGTTTCTATACGGAATACGTTACAGCGGAAAATAAAAACCTCACATTGTCGTGCCTACATTGGATCCGTCTGGACAGTTGCCTCCTGGTCTTTTCCAGTGGCCGGTTCCAGAGCTTGAAGAACCAATGTTTGGACTAACATTCAGTGATAGTTTATCAACAGGCTGGCCCAGTGGAGATGGAACACACGTTTAAGTAAATAGTTTTCTTTGACCAGAACCACATTCTAAACATTGGAAGCACTCCTCAAATATGGATCTTAACTGTTTGAGTACCTGATGAGCCTGTGCTAAGTGTGATGGAGAAGGACTGTACCGTGGAATGTGGTATTGGTTTAAGCTTTTAGCTAGGTTATAAGGAAGTCTCTGTATGTATGTGTCTGTGTCTGTCTGTGCGTTTAGGTTGGAAGAGTTAGTCAAGGCTTTTCTGGGTGACCCCGATCCAGATGTGACACTGTCCTTGGGACCAGACATGAGAAAAATCCAGTACTGTTTCTCTCTGCTGAAGGTGATGTATTTACTTTGGTCTTTCCATGTACAGTATCCACAGTCATGTCTCCCTGTAAACACTTTTATATTTGGTTAGTCTCTCATTCATGCGATCATTTCATAGAATTTGTTTTCCCTTTCCTTTCCATGACAAGAGCCATGCACGTTGCTATGCTAGTTCATTAAAATGAAAGTTTTGAATTCTGTTACTTAGTTAGTGCTTCAGTTTTATCCGAACTGTAACCATGAATGACTGGATGACAAAGAAATAGAATACATTTGATCAGTGAGGTGACATTTTCATCCATCCATCAGTTCAGCACAGTGACCAGTTGACCCATCACCTCTTCTAAATAGCTCCCTCTACTGTAATTTGCTGGGAAGTGCCTTACATTTGTGTTAACTCAAATTAACTTTCCTATTTTATGTTGTTAATACTCCTGGTTACGGTGTCTAGGTGCAATTTTATCACCTTAATTTCACAGAAAAGGCTGATGATTAACATTCTGGGGACCAAACCATAACCTAACTGGATATTGTAAGCTTAATCCTAGAGTCTATGGCTAGAAAGAGAGAATATTTGCAGATCCAGTGATGCCCAGTTTTATCCAGTGCTGTTGATTTTCCCACGGCCTGACTTGAGTCTAGACGCTTGGTGTTTTGCAGTTATTTGCCATCTAATTAGAGGCAAGGTGTAATGTGACATGCAGTCGTTAATGCATGTGTTCAAACCAGATCCTGAGAATTTGCACAACAGCTAAAAAACACAATGGTAAGTGGTACGACACAATGGTTTGAACTCCTTTTTCTGTTGTATATGTGTGCATTATTTCTGGTAATATAAATTAGTGCTGAAAAATGTGTTCAGTTAATAAATCTAACTTAATAAAGTTAGTAAATCAACAGAAAATGAAGTAATAAAAGCAGCAAAAATGTAAATAATGTATGTGTTATTTTAAAAGGATTTTTATTTATTTATCTGTATGTATTATTTGGGAAATGAGACTCAGACTGAACTATCCACCTGGATGAGTTGTTTCAGTCAATGTCATATTTGTGTTTCCTGAGTGTTTTTATTATAGTGGAGTCTGGACATCATTTTGGTTTTGGCTCTGTGCCAGTCCACTGACAAATTGTCATTCAATGGTTAAATATTGTAATTGCATGTTGTTTGCCAAATGTTTGCAGAAAACACCAATTCTTATTTTGGAACCCTGTTTAGGAGAAAGTCTAGATTTTGTTCAACATTTCTCAAACAGCAGCCGATGGCCCACTGCTGCTAAATGAGCACAGGGAAAACACTGCGGTGCTCACACTGTTCCTGCACTCTGGTTTGGTTGGAGCCGCCACCAGAAGCAGTTCCAGATCCCACTTGAATGTCTGTTTATCTCTCCTTCAGTTTGTTATGATTCGCAAACTCTATCTCCTGTTCGGTTTACATTCCTCAAAGCATCACCCCAGTCACACTCCGGTGATTCTGTAGGAATTTGGATCTGGGTTGAATTGGATTTCTTTCTCCTTTGTTCTCAACTTTGGCTGGCTCTTTCATGCTCAACTCTCTGCTTGGCCTTGTTTTAGAGTGATGTTCAAACACCAGAGTGCATATCTGCAGTTTTATCTTTTCAGCACTGTGAGCTTGATCTCCAGTGTGACCTAAATGATTTAGCACTGTCTGTATGATGTTACACTGCAGGTGACAGTGGAAAGTTCTTTTACAAAACTGGGGAATCTCAGCCCAAACACATATCATCTTCGGTGTGCTTCTATACACTATATGTCCACAAAACTGTCTGAGATCAGCCTCACCCCTCCTCTATACCTTGCTCTTCTACTGTACCTTCTCCATATGGAAAATAAATACCAACCTTTAACATGTTTCCCACCTGCCCTTAAACCTGGAGTATCATTGAAATTTTAGAGTTATATTGCAGACTGGGAAAAGAGGGAAATTAAATTTGAATGTTTAGGGAATATCATGGAATTTAGAAGAGCACCACTTTGCAGGATGATACCACAATGTATTTTCTAGCTTGTTTACATTCATGGCATTAAATTGTTGTTTATACTGAATGTGTTTTTCTCAACAGCAAATCTAACTGTCGTATAAAGCAGGCTGACTATAGAAGTGTTCTTACAGAAGTTTATTGAGCTAAAAATGCTATAAAATTAAATCAAAGGTCATGGATACCAACTGACTTGCACTGTAATCATGAAAATACTAGAGCAGTCATGGAATGTTTACATCAGTTTTACGGTATACAATTGCATATCTATGAATCCACCTTGAAAATATAAGTTGATTGAATGCAGTTCTTTGGTATGGACAACCAGATTATTTAATTCTTCAAAATATTTTTACATTCATATCCAAAATAGAAGCCATTCTGCTTTTTACTTACATAACATGTCAACAATCTTTTATGTTTTTTGTACAGGTAATGATCATGGCCAAAAACAGGCACAATGATCGACAAGAGCCACCAGCAACATCAGTGAGGGAAGAGGTAGTTCAAGACAGCCACCACAGTGCTGCAGAAGTGACCAAATTAAAGGAGATGCTGAAACAACGTGATAATGAGATCAGTATCCTTTGATATGGTGCTGCCAGCAACTATATTCCGGCCAAACAAAACTCTTAAAACTTAAAATTGTCTTCCGCCATTGCCAGTTGCTGGTATGAAATGCATTTTGGGATACAACAGCCAGACAGCTAGTAAAGGCTAGCAGTGACAGCACGGTAATCTACCTGTCACTAAAAGTGTCCACACCCCCAATTATGGAGAATTAATGTAATTTGAACAGGTGAGTTATAAAAAGGTTAACCCCCCTCACTGTTAAAATTAGCTATATACACTAATACCATTTTTTTGAACCAGACTCTAAACATGTTGATTTCTACAATGGAGATTGACTTCCTTTTGGAGCCAGCCTGAAGAGCCCGCTCAATGATTTGCAGTTTTTGGCGCTTCCTGGTGGCTAAATGTTTCAGCCCCGGATATAAGCCCGCGTCAAAAATGTACTTGCAAAATCTTCTCGCCAAGATTTGTAGTGAGAACGAACTCCGTACAGAATTCATTAAATTATAGTTACATACATAACTGTCATTCCAATTCATTCTTTCTGACCTCCAGAGGTAGTGCTTAACAGTGAATGACTATTACCAATATTGTCACGATGAATCCCAGCTTACATGAGGGTTTCTGAAAGACAGCTGCCACTACTGATGCTGGTGAGCAGCGACACTGACCACAGTAAAAACGGGCAAAGGTGCATGGTGTAGCCCAGGTGGCCGCAGCTCAAATCTCACTCTGAGGCACATCCTGTAGGAAGTTTAGAGTGGCCACGGAAGTTAAGAGGCAACGGCAGCTCTTTTGATCTTTACACCTCCTCAATTACCTCAACAACCCACCTGGAAAGTCTTTGCCTCAAGGCCCTCGCTGGGCAGAGCAGTTCTGCAGTTTAGCTTCAATGTCATAAGCTGCCAACTCAATGAGCTGATTTAAGTGGGCTGGATCCACCCTGTTTGGGAAGAATGATGGGTTAGGCCAAAGTGCCACTCTGTGCCATACGAGTTCCAGTGCATGCATGCTTCACTCACCAACAAGGCATGAAGCTTACTCAAATGCTTCGCTAATGATCTCCATGGCCGCAACACAAGGAGGCATTGGCTGGACACCCTGACTCTCTGGGATCTGTGCAACCTTGGATCTAAATCGAGGCCATTGATCCAAACTCGGAAGGTCCGCATATACCGGAGGCCCGTGGCACACCTGAAGTCATTTATGTCAACATACCTAACAGCCTGAGAAAAAGTGTGTACATACTCCTGTTCTTCTGGAAATGGCCGAGAAGCTGGAGTATGGCCTCTACTCACCATAGAGCTGGGACGGCCAAATTAAGGAGGAGTCCAGGGTTGATAAACACAACACTTTGGCTGGGTATCAGACAACTTTTGGTGTAATTGATGGTAAGGCCCAATCCTTTCAAACGACATAGAAGGGCAGCAGTGTCCTGCTCAACCTGTTCCTGGATTGGAGCGCAGGTCGGCCAGTTGTCCAAATATGGGAGGATCTGCATACTGTTGGCTTGCATCGTGGCCAGCACTACCTGCATGCACCTTGTGAAGACCCATGGGACTAGGGGAAGACCGAACGGGAGCACCTTGAACTCATAGGCTATGCCTTCAAATGCAAAGTGCAGGTACTGCTTGTGTTGTAGTGCCATTGGGACGTGAAAATATGCATCCTTCAAATCGCAACACCTTCAGAAATGTCTTTAGCCCTTAAATAGGATGAAAACCACCCTCTTTTTTGGAATCAGAAAATAAACTGAGTAGAACCCACCTTGCTGTGTACGAAGATCTACTTCTTTTATAGACTTCTTCCCCAAGAGGGTGGATATTTCCTGTGTCAGTGCTTGAGACTTTGTGGGGATTGCTGACCGTGGTCAACCTGATCTCACTCAAAACTGGGGGCCGGCATCAGAACTGGAGATTGTACCCTTGGGAAAGCGTGTCCACCACCAAAGGGTCTGTAGTGCAGCTTTCAGGGCCTCAGGGTTTATCCCCCCAATCCCTTTGGGTGTCTGGGAGGTTATAACCCAACCCTAAACCCATCTGCATCTGAGGCGCCAACCATGTGGGAGCCTGGCACTGGATGCATCACTGACGCTGTGGATGGAATATATCAAAAGGGAAGCACACTGCAGTCTCTACCGTCCATAGGCGAACAAAATCCACAAAAATAAATTTGAATGTGTCTGGATCTAGCGTCACAGTTTAATCACACATACTGTTGATAGTAAAATCTTCATTAGTAGAAAGGTATGTATACTAAAGTAAATCTATCTGTGTTATTGCATGGTTGGATTACAGTGCTTCTACAAACACATAAATTATGAAATGTAAGTAGTCTTGCATTCATCACCAGTGCCCCAAAATACACATGAAATGTTATTTTAATGTGTATGTTGAGATAGATCTTCATCTAATGACTGCAGTTCATCATAATTACTATTAATCATATTTATGGTATTTGTATTTGAATATGATATTTCTAATGTCTTTTTGGGATTATTCTTCCCTCAACCCTTCTTGCTGTGGCTTGTCATTAGATCACAGCACATTAGTTGGAAAATTGAGATGTCTGCTTGATTATTTAACCACAAAACCTCAGCTCTCCAAAATAAATATAATATTATCATGCAGATATTTCACCATAGTGTTTCTTGGATCAAGTATGTGTAATGTGAAATCCTCTCCTCCTTTGTGGATTTTCTCTCTCAAAATGTCATACACTGGCTTTTACATGATGTAAATGTAATTGCCTAAATTGATATTGTGCATGTTTTAAAGCACGTATTTTGGTAATGCACATGCTCTACTGACCATATTGCCTTAGGTTCTTTCATTGTGAAGTTTGTATATAAAGTTGCAGTAGCCTCAACTGTCAGTCCCTCAGTCAGGGTGGTCTGTCTGCAACGCTATAGTTTGGGTTGACCAACCTCGTAGGGTTGATATCATTGCCAGCCAGAGCCATAATAACTAAATTCAGACCATTTCTACAACTTAAGCTTGTATCTGTAAGCTGATCACCATGCTTTCCATGTCTGTATTATTGTCCCACCCTCTACACTGCTAAAACTTTTATTGGGAGCCATTGGTTCCTGTGCTACAGGCTTACTGTCCTCAAAGGGTTAATTATGGGACAGTTCTCTGTAAAACAGAAGGGTGTATCCCTACCCACTGCCCATGTGTGTTCCCAAGCATGGTTGACTCTGCATGGGAGTGGGACACCTGGTAATGCTTAGTTGACTCTCTAAGTGATGACACATCCACCACTAACATGATGATAGAGCAACAAGGACAACTAACAAACACTGCTGACTTTAAAGACTAACATTGCCCATGTATTTGTAATGCCACGTAGAAATGCCAGGTAGCACTTAGAATTTTGCAGATTTTTACCACTGTGGTAAAGTGTTGTTGTACAGCCACGTCTGAAGTGTGGATTGAAACTTTACTTGCCATGTTTTTTGTAAACCCTTGCTAGCAATCTACAAAAATCATTAAGTGGAGCTGCAATGGAGTGGAGCTGCAATGGAGGAATGTGTCCCATACCCTCTAAATGAAATCCCGTTCATTAATGCTATACTGCATTTGCCCAAAGCAAAGCTCTCCTACAGATACTACAGATCACTTTCAGTATATCCCTGCAGACCACTTTTCAAGCATACCATACCTCCTGAAATTAGTCCCATATCTTCCATGTAGCCATTTATTTCAGGTCATCAGAGTATGTTACTTAGCAAAGACTTGAAACTGGCTTGTCACATGAAAATTAAGTTTTGAAAAGAACTGTGTACTAGTTTCTGTATTTAAAAATGTTACCCAACAGCATAATGTTAATAACCTATCTTATTAGAAACTAGAAACTAGAATGCACATTTTACCAACATTAATTATCCTACATGATTTCTGGGAGTTAAGCTCAGATGTTTCAGTTTTTTTTCTTTGCCATTTGTACGTGAGCTTCCTTAGCGCAAAACCAAATTCATTTTTTGTCGTTTTCCTTAAGTCAAAATTTTACACAATGGTAACATGTTAATCTGTATAATGATAGTATTCACAACTAGCAGATTATTCTGTTTTATTTTCTCTGACATGTGCTGTTGAATGTATTCAAGAAAAATCTGGTTACTATACTATACTAAGTCATAATAACAGTGATAAGCAAAGCCACATAAGTAATCTCACTGTGTTTACTGCATTGGCTGTAACTGGTTTCCTGGATTCCCTTAGCATTCCCATTGTTCAGAATGATTTTTTATATCAAGACATTAGTACTCAAACCTCAAGTTATTTTGATCGAGTGGACATTTACCAGATGGACTGACTGATTTTGGCACAGACATTTGTTCTTCCCAAACAATACATTTTATCACATTCCATCAGGTTGGGATAAGGCTGTGGAGAAAATAGAGATGGAACGGATGGGAAACTTCCTTTGGGTTGTGTGTTGGTGCTTACTGAAAAAAAAACATTTAGATTATTTTTAATCATTTTTGAAAAGTGAATTCTACCCTGACATTTCCACACACTAATGTCTTAAGCCCCTTATGAACCTTATACTGTAGCTTGACAGTTGTTTTACCTCTGTACCGGTTTGTCTCTGATGAAACAGGGATAAGCTGGATATGTAATCATCATTACTCGTCTTATCATAGTGTTCATGAATATGCAAATATATCATCCATTGTTACAATCAATGCAGAATTGGGAGGGTTTTTATTGTTTGCCGTGGAGCTCATTCACCTCTGCTTTTGTGAGAACTTTGTCCCCATAAAGCAATTTACAGAATTTAAAGTTGTCAAACATAGAGTTTAGGTTTGCTGCCAGCTGCAAACTGTTTTGCATATATGCTAATGAGTGCTGATTGAATGAAATTGACGAAATTGTCCCTTTTGCATATTGGAAGTGTGTGCCTGGATTAAAGTGATTATAACTAAATGGTATTTTATTGGAATGTTTTGAAGCAGGGTAGGGCTCAGTTTTTAAAACGTTAGTGAATAATACAGAATACTGCTTTAGGTGAAAATATAATTACTTCATAAATCACCTTATAAATAGCATTAACACTCTTATTGTCACTGCACATATTTGTTTTATGTGCTTCATCATACTGTAGCTTTTGACTCTTTGGAAAAACAGTATTTGCAACAATATTTGCAATGTGGATCAATCTTTCCATTAGTTAAATGAATAATGTATTGTCTGAATTACACCCCAACATACAAATTTGTTTGACAGAATTTTCAACACACTTACTCCTGAGGAAAGGTCATGTAGTCATTCCAATTATAACGGTTCAGACCCATGAAAAAGTAAATGTATTTTTAATTGTGAGATATCGTGAAGGCAAAGTTGACATCTTGACCTGAGAGTGGCACGTAAGGAAAGCTCACAGGGTCACCAGACTAATTTGAATTATACTTTTTTACTAGCAGCACCAACTCAACAGCTTCACACTTTACTTTCAAGACACCCAAAGTGCTCAAACCTTCTAATTCTGTAACTGTAATCTAGCAGGAGGATATAAATGTATGTCTTACATCTGTATTACTAACTGTATACAGGATGGAACATTGAAATTGGAGCAACGTGTGGCACCACTGAGATTGGCATTGCACTTTTGCCAGCGTTGGTAATTTTAAAGGAATTTTCTTTATTTCCTTTTGTCTGCTTTATTGGACAGTATAATAGAGAGTGACAAGAAAGATGAGGCAGAGAGACTGAATGCACATCATGAGCTGAGATTGACCACATTTTGAGTGTATGGTATGTGAAGCAGCCCACAGATCTAATGTGCAATCCCCAAGAGAAATGTTTATCATATACTAGTCTATGTTAGGGTTCAGCATAAATGAAGATATCAGATATTACAGATCTCAATAATGGAAAAACCTGGTGAACAACAGTCTGAAGTAATGACTTGTATGAAACAATGACATAGGACCCACAAAAACAGTCATATTTCTTTGTAAAACTTGGCTTCTATAGGTCATTTGGAATTGTGTTGGGTTTAGATTTTGGCAGATTTGAGAAGACTGCATGGTTGGTTTCATTGGAAACTGTAATTTGAGACTTGGTTCCTTCATGTTATTGTTCCCACTGACATCCCCTTTGTATTGGCTGAAAGGAATATAAATTAACGTCTCCAGCTCCTTCAAAACTACGTCCATTCATCATCCAAAATAATGACATTCTGACTTTTTTCCTCTTTGAATATCTCAAATTATCTGCTGACCACCACAGTTTCAGTTTGGCCACAACTAGATCTCTGCTAATCTCATGACAGGAACATGCTTGAAGAACAGACTAATGTGTTGCCACTAAATTATGGGTTGAGATTAGACCATCAAACACACGTCCGTTTATAGTGGAAAAACAGGCACGTAGGGCAGGAACTGAATTAATATTTTAATGTTTAATTCATGTAGGTAATGTATATGAAGATCAAAACTAAAAGTTAGACAGGCTATACTTTCACAATCATACTTCTTATAGAATAACCTATGCTAAGCTTTTGCCTCTTTACCTGCAAGGCCATGACGAGCTTTGATTTCTTGCTTTCTGTTGACATCTTAAAAGCAATCTTGGCAACTTTCTGTGAAATGTCAGTGAAAGCATGTTTTTCTTTATACAGTTTTCCCAATGTAATTCTGGTGCATATAATTACAACTTTCCCTCTGTCAGCAGTTCCGATTACAAAATATTGCATCTGCTAGCATCGTCTTGTCCTTTCTCACCCGCGGTGGAAACAGCAGTATGCTCTTGTCATACAGTAAGGGTCACTCTACATGTCAGGAAGCATAGCAACCAGGTGTTGATTTAATAATCAAATTTGAAAGTGCTGATCAAATCTGTGCTCTGCTGTATGCATTATTATTAAAACTGTGTGAGGCCAGCTGAAAGCAGTTTGAGCAGGAGGCTGTAGATCAAATGCAGAATTGTTCTGTAGAGTTGGAAGCAGAGTACAGTACATGGAAAACAGGAAACGATTATAGTAAATGGTGCTAATACATAGAGACAATGCATATGGAGAAGTGAAACGTGTCATGGCAGTAAAAGTGTGAACAGGATCTAAGTGGCAGTTCTTGTCTCTCAGCCTCTTCTCTGTCACACTCACACAAGCGCACCCGGACTTACTGACACATCTGCACTTGGACTCATCAGTGGGAGAAGATTTTGTGGAATTTTGGTAGAGTCTCTGCAGTCTCTCTGGCTCCGCTTCTCTCCACTGATTAATCCAAGACCGTGACATCTCTCCTGAGCCTGTAAGGTCAGACTCTGAGCACATCAGCACTCCGCCATTATTAAAAGCCCACAATGAAGCCTGCTGCCTTTAGGAAATCACTATAGATGCTACCCTTTTACTGTATATTCTCAGTTTTCACGAAATTCGGTCCAAAGTGAACTCTGATTTGAATAATAACGTCCTCATATCATGAAACATGTCTTTAATGATACTTAGGTTTACAGTGTTTTTACATCATATTCTAATCACTACAACTGCTTAGTCCTTCGATATGTATGTGCACAAGACAAGATGAATCCTTAACTCTATGCCTACAGGTATCCTAGTTAAGATGTTAAAGAAGGAGAAAAAGCGGGCCCAAGATGCTGCTGCTCAGCTTGCTAACGTCACCAGTGGCCAGAGTCTGGCCTCCCAGAGTGCACTGAGTTTTTCCACAATGCCCCTGTTGAGGGATGGAAGCACAGAAACCATTTCTGAAGACCATGGAGGACGAGCTATACAGTACATGAAAAAAGGTACTTTAAGAAGCTATATTCTTTCTTTTTTTTTGCTTAAATTGTTTGATTTAAAATCATTTTTATAGACTCCAGATGTGTTAGAGATAAGGTTTAGCACTGTCATTTGCATCTTTGTGGCTGTGTTACTCATAACCCTTTCCAGATATTGTTTACATTACTTTACATTTAGTCATTTAGTTGACCAAAGTGACGTACGATTGCTGTATATGTCAGAGGTCGCACGCCTCTGGAGCATCTAGGGGTTAAGTGTCTTGCACAGGATGTGTCACAATGGGGAACTGAACCCGGATCTGTCACACCTAAGGCAGGTGTCTTATCCTCTGCTCCATCGCCACCCTGTTTTTAGCTAAGCAATTTAAGGGCATATAATGAGGGCACTGCATTAAAGGTTTGGTTGAACTAAATAAAAAAAAAACACAAGCTTGTGGTATGTAGCCATGTAGTTAGTCTTGCTTTTATCTCCCTTGGTTTTGAGATATCAGACATTGCCTCTACCCCAAAATAATTGGTAAGATTTTTTTAGTAGTGGCACTGCACTGTGGCTGCTCAATGCTACTAAATAGTAGGAATGGGTCAAAAGTATCTCATGGTGCTAATAAAGTACAGTATAAATTAAATTAAATGTTCACAGATGTCGACTTCATTAAATGTCTGTCTGCCTTTCTGACCTGGAAGAAGCGATGACTTTGTGATGAATTAGGTGCAAAGTGTACAGACAGGTGATCTTTCTCGATTGGAATGTGGGCAGCTCTTTGTGGTCATGCTGATTTTCAGAGCGCTTGTTGAGGTTGCCTGTGGGGCACGACAAATCCTTGATTTCTGGATTTTACTGCATGGCAAAGAGTCAGAGTTTGCAGAGCTCCCTACGTTGTTAAATTTCCAAACAATGTCATCAGCAGGGATTGCATGTATTTAGGAGTTTCCTTTTAGCGGTCACTTAAGTGGCCCAGTGTAGTCGTGTCAGCAAAGCAACATTATACAGTACAGTATATTAAACCTGTAATATCTTGCTGATGTGTTCAAAACCTTTAATACATACTGGAACATGAAGCAGAGACCAGGGGCCAAGAACGCTGCAATGTAAACACAAGAGACACTATTCAGACCTGAACGGGATAAAAAAACCTGGATCCACTACGTTTGAGAAAACGTCAGTTCCATTTAGAAGACCATGTCAAATGAAAAGGAATTGCTAAATACCAATTATTTAAAAAATGTCAAATTTATACATCGTAATCTTGTTGTTCCAGTAAGTGACCGATTACTATTACATGTGGTCTTGAATTGAGTGTTATCAGTGTTGCAGTTGATATGGTTATCGCCATGCACCTTTGCCATGATTGCTCCCTTCAGAAGGTTTAGATCATCATGTCATTGAAGAGAAAGTATAATGAACATAGAGATGGATAAAGAGTAAGTAGCAAAACATCTCTTGGATTGCCAGTCCACTTTTTTAGACTTGGTTTGAATGTAACAGGAATGTGAAGGTTGCTAAAAGTCAAGGCGATCAAGCTTTGAGATATGCTCTTTAGCTGGCGGCAGCATTTATTTGGCTTTTCCTGTTTAATTTTGGTTAAGTGGAGCCTTAAGTGTGATGATAAACCTGAGCCCTCATAACGAGCTTGGTCATAGCCATCGGGCACAGGGCTATGAGCCAGCAACTCATCAAACTGAGGCTGCGCTCCTGTCTGTGCTAACCACAGCTCCCTCATCCTTTTTACATTACATTTTTGTGTAATGGCGCCCAGTGCGGTAATAAGGCCAGCAAAGGGGTAATTGCAAACAGGGTATCTGAAAGAAGAGCCTATTAAAAAACAAACACATGTTTGAACTTGGTCCAGTCAGAATTAGTAAGCGAATCAGTCATTCATCGAAAGATGAGGAGCACTGTGATGGATGGCTGTAAAGCTGTGGTTTATAAAACCGCTGATAAATGATGTGCCATACGTATTATTCTCTCAGACCAGTATGTGATCTAATGTGGAGCAAGCATGATCATCTGGGTCGTGTCACCAGGAGATTTGTTTCCACCTGGCCCAGCAAGGCCTCTTTTTTTTCTCTCTTTCTGATTTCATGGGACATGATGATCTCTATGGATTCCACATCCATCTGGTTGACCTGTAGCTATGTCGCATCTGCTGCTTTACAACTACACAACACAACGATGTCTTTGTGTTTTTATATAATGTAGGGCTGTCCCCGACTAAGGATTTACATAGTTGAATCAGAATTGTCAAGTCTTGACTATAGTCGAATGACAGTGGAATCATGTGTATGCTTGTGCACAGCGATTGCGAGTGGCAGGCGGTTACGCACGGTAGCTCCGCTTTAATCTTGAGAAGCTGCAGAGCTGCAGTCTCTGTTTATTACTCACTGTAACTTACACTGTACATTTCCAGCTAAACTGAGGCTTATTGTTGACCATTTTCTCTCTGCTGGCCTGCCATTCACTGGTCTTGTGCAGAGTTTTGCATGTACGCCGTGCGACCGACGCACGGCGCAAAGTCCATTTCAAGTAACTGTTAAAGTAAACGATATAATTTTCTTTGTGTGGTTTATCAATGGTGATAAATGATCCGAACATCCCGTGTGGTGCGGACAACTCTGCACAACACTGGTAAAGCTGGAGCTTCGTCTCTTCAGCAGCTGCAGAGTGGCTGGTATTGCATGGCTTACTGTAGCGGGAACTACCACAGATCATCTGAGACAGCAGAGAGTAGCCAGGCAAGAATGAGGTTTCTTTAGGTAGATATATTAAGAAATTATATTTACTTAATTGTTCAGTAAAACCATATGTTATTGTGACTTGGCCACTGATAGATAACATGTAAAGAGTGTGAAACATTGTCACTGTTTCCTCACCACAGTCCATTATAAACCACATAATAGATAAACTTTGCAAAGGCATTTTAAATTTGACAAGGGAAATGACAAGGGGAACCCATTATTTTTGAGGATCCTAAAGGACAGTACCCACCCAGCTACAGCCTGTTCACCCCACTGCCTTCTGGGAAGAGATACAGAAGTTTCAGCTGCTGCACCACCCCCATGCTATCAGACTCAAATTCATCCCCAGCACTGCTCCATTGATCACTGAATATTTTTTACTTGTTTTTACTATTGTTATAATTGCTTCTGTATTAATGTATATTGTCTGCTATGTAGCAGAAGGGAGTTACAAAACTCAATTTCACTATTTAACCTATTATAAATGTAATAATAATAATAATAATAATCCTTATTTGTAGAGCACTTTTCAAAAACAAGTTACAAAGTGCTTTAACAAGTGTAAAGAATAATACAAAAAGATAAGAGCATGAAAATTTAATATAAAATTAGTAAAATACAATAGAATAAAAGGGATAAAATAAAGTCAAATAAGATCGGGAAAAGCTCTCCTATAAAAGTATGTTTTAAGAAGGGACTTAAAAGAGTTCACCGACTCAGCCGACCTGATTTCCTCGGGCAGGCTGTTCCAGAGCCTCGGGGCCCTGACAGCAAACGCTCTGTCCCCTTTAGTTTTCAGTCGAGACTCTGGAACAGACAACAGACCTCTGCCCGAGGATCTCAAGGTACGTGCTGGTGCGTATGGGACTAAAAGGTCAGAAATATAACAAGGCGAGAGGCCATGAAGAGCTTTAAAAGTGATCAATAGAATTTTAAAGTCAATTCTAAAACATACTGGGAGCCAGTGTAATGAAGCTACAACAGGAGTAATGTGGTCATATTTCTTTGTTCTGGTTAAAAGCCTGGCAGCTGAGTTCTGGACAGTCTGGAGTCGATCAATAGATTTTTGGGTTAAACAGGTGAAAAGGCTGTTGCAATAATCCAGGCGTGATGAGATGAAGGCGTGTAAAATGGTCTCGGTGTCCTTAAAAGTTAACATAGATCGAATGTTTGCTATATTTCTAAGTTGATAAAAACATGATTGAACAAGCTTTGTGGTGTGCTGCTCGAAATTTAAATTACTATCAAACCAAACACCAAGGTTCTTTGCCACAGGCTTAATGTGATTTACTAGGGAACCAGCAGATGGCAGTATTTGATTTGCCATCTGCTGAGACCCGATGACCAGGATTTCTGTTTTGTCTGAGTTCAGCTGGAGGAAATTATTTGACATCCATTTTTTAACTTCACAAAGGCAGTTGTTAAGTGAACTCAGCATTCCAGGGTCTGTGGATCTGACGGGCAAGTATATTTGTGTGTCATCAGCATAAATATGAAAAGAAATGCCATGTTTATGGATAATGTGTCCAAGGGGAAGCAGATACAAGGAAAACAAAATGGGTCCTAAGACCGACCCCTGAGGCACACCATATTTAACTGGACAGAATGAAGAGACATAGTTGTTTACAGACACGCAAAACTTCCTATTTGACAGGTAGGATGAAAACCATTCTAGGGCAGTACCAGAGATCCCCACCCAGTGCCTCAGTCTGTCTAACATGATGTTGTGATCAATGGTGTCAAAAGCAGCGCTAAGGTCCAGGAGTACCAGGACTGAGCACATACCTTCATCAGCAGACATTAAAAGGTCATTGGTGACTTTAAGCAGGGCAGTCTCAGTGCTGTGGTACTTCCTAAAACCAGACTGGTTTTTAGAAGATGTACCTACCTACTTCTCTCTGTCATTATGGACCCTCGCCAAAACTGCCCGCCAGCAGTAATATCTGGCCCGCGGCCAGATTATGGTGCTTTGATAGTGGCAAAAAATTTAAATAAATATATACTTTGATAGATCTAAGTCATGACAGCAACAGTTACTCACATAATCACTTCCTCTTTTTTTTGCCTGCAAAAAAAAAGTACAATTTTTTTTTTTTTCAGAAATGCTTTATTATAAGTTGAATTGGGAGCTTTTAATTTGAAAAATTCTGAACGACATTAGAATCTGTAGTTTGACACACTTCTGAAATAGCAGTCAGGAAACAAGTACAGGAATGTCCTCTGCCTGGAGATACTGGGGAAATGAAAAGGAGTCTGTAGGTTGATGGATATGGATCAAACACGCTGCATTATCAATTTGTTGAAGAGGTAAAAAACAACAACATGGGATCAAACACACAACCTTCTAGGTGACAGTCTTGCACTGTACCGAATGAGCTAACCGAACACCTTAACATTTAGTTTAATTATTATGTCTAATGTTCTCACCACTGTCTAATGGACAACAAACATTGCTCTGATGCAAGACTTATTTGCAGACCCCTGCTGTATATTATTTATTTCTTCTTCTTCTTTGAACGTACATATTCAATGTAGTGATGAGTGTCTAAACTGCCAGAATTCTACAAGAAGAAGAACAAGAACATAGTGACTGAATGCGCTCTGCAAAGCTTTTTGTCTGTTTTCAGTTACTGTAGAAACATGGCGGCACAACATGGTGACATCCATGTAAGAGGAACTTGCGGTTATGTAGATAGAAATGGTTCATTCTAAGGTAATAAAAACATAACGGTTCATGATGTAAGGTCTTTACACACCACTGAAAACATAGTTATGGATCTTATATTACATTTCTGTCAGTAGAAATGTCCTCAGAAATATTACACACTTTAAATACTAAATATAATTCTCTTCATTGTAATGCTTGAAAGGGTGCCAGTATACCACTTTTACATATCCCAGCTCAACCAAAAAGTGAGTGAATCACTCAAGGGTGCTCACATTTGCCACGTTTTTTTTCATTTTTCAACTGTGTCTCTTCTCTTTTGCCTCCTACAGACATAACAAACACTGCAATACCCCAAATGCTCCAAAACTGACTGTGACAGGCACTAAGTAATAACTACTAGGCTGGATTTTGTTTGTTAGGTCAAAGTGTCGCTTCTATAATGAAATGCAAAATAATCAGCTTCACTAATTTCAACATTGCGTTGGAGTCATGCACTGAGATGTTAGCTGAATACATCACCCTTTAACGCAGACAACAACTAAATTAGGTACTTTTGCCAATAATATTGGTATTGTATATTATTGTCCATTTTGTTGTGGAAGAGTTGCTAGCCCCTCAAAAATTCCCAGATCCTGCAGTCCCTTGCTAGCAGTTACATGTCCACTCTGGAATGTTCTTCCACTTTTCTCACACTTCATGAGAAATAGCTGTCTCTTTCTGCTCTGTTTGCAACCAACACTGTGACCGGAACAAGCTTCCAACTCCATCAGCTGTTGACCAGCAGGGAAAGCTTGATGTTGTCCAGAAAGGCTCTGCACATTGGGAAGCAAAAGCTTTTGAGAACACATTGAGCACTTCCAGGATGATCAGAGAAGACACTTCTCACACTTTATTGTTTTGGACTTTCACTATGTGGAATCCTGGAGCACCGGTCAGGGATTTTTTTTAAAAGCACCAGTTAATACTACAGTGTCAAAAGAGGCTATTGCATCAGTTACATATTAAATTCCTCTTAAATATACAGAATGTGCGAAATATTAGAAACACACTATTGACAGTTGTTTTATACAGTGCACTGTATTATATGTGATATGTTTCACATCTGGAGTGCCTATTTTCCATGACCCACTTGGAGACTCATAACCAAACTATACGTGCATTAGATCATTGTTCTTTACTCTGTCCTAATTCAAAACAAATGCACTACACTTATTCTTTTCTTTGTGCTCGAAGGGTCACTGAATATTTATATGTGTTTTAATTTAGGTTTATTCTGAGGGTTCTGTTGCTGTAGCCAACAGCCTCTATGGTTACAGTGAGGTAATTACTGTCCCCTGAAGATTAACTGTAAATGTAATGATGATGACCTTTCCATGGAAACCATTCATGCTGACTGAATGGCATATCATCGACTCTACTCTTTCCATAATACATCCTTCTGTATCAGGCTTTAGGCTTTTCCAACAAAGAATAAAACGTGAACATTAGGGAATTATTTTTTCTTTCTTTCTGATGACCACTGTTCTGTGCGGAAGCAGTCTACACACATTACAAGTTTTGAGTTCCTCATAGAACTGGATTTCTATGATGTGCACTGTAAATTGCAAACTGGACTGTGAGTTTGAGATGCCTCTGAGTTTCCTTGAGGTTCATTTATTCTTTTTTCACAGGTACAGAGGTACAGTGTCTTCTTCTTGTACTCTTCAGATTCTTCAGAAAATGGTGGCTAATGGAAGGGCAAGGTGTTCCTGTTGTAATTCAGGCTGGTGATGACCTGTGTTAAGCTCACAGAAACTCAAAGGAGACTTGAAATTTACAGGGAAAGCTAGATCTCATTGTAAATCCTGCAAGCATGTAATGAGACACTGATGATTCTAGCAGGCCCTCCACACATTTCTGTGATATAAGCAGGCACCTAAGACAATTGGGACACCACAGTAAGTCAAAAATGACTGTCCCCTGCAGGATGGAGAAATATTATTATATATTAGAAATGCTGTTTTTCTATCAAGCAGACAAGTTCTAACCTTTTGTGTAAACAGTTAACAGTTGATCTTTCTTATAAATTGATGGGACAGTACAGTCATACTTCACTTTGCTGGTATTTTATTTCTAAAATGTGTTGAAACAGCAACAATAGTCACAACACATTCCTTTCCTGTAAAACCTCTGTGGTTTGTCAGCACTTGAAGCATGGAAAATAAGAATTCGGAAAGTTGGCCTAGAGTCCACGTGATCTCATTACCACACATATTATGTTAGTACAACATAATATGATGTCATATCACTCTTAAATATTCCTGGAATGTCAAGAGTTGAATGGAGTGCATTTCCCTCAAGAAACCCCTTTAACTGATTTGTTGAGGTTGGCTGTTGCAACGCACTGTATGCATGTGAGATGCCTGCTGGTTTCAATCAAGACGCTCCAAAAATAAAGAAACAAAATTCCTAACTGTCCTACAATTAATCTCGCATGAGTTAGTGACCTTGTGTATGTTTATGATTAGAACAGCTTTGTCACAAAAATCCACACATTTTAACAAGGGTGGAATTCATTGTGAAGCTTTGGGGTTTCCATGTAAATCTTGCAAAATGATGGTGATTTCTATTGTAAGATTACGGCATACGCAATCCAGTGTAGTCTTTCACACAGGGAATAATCAGATGTACAGTGTATTTTTTTTTTTTAAAGCTCATTAAAAATATTACATGCCTATTAAGAAAATGGATGAGTAGGAGCAGGATGTTCTGTCCAAATTTATGTAGTTTCCTGACATGTGGCAAGTTGCCAAAGTTTAGTGGGGGGCATCACCCATGCAATGCTGATGTGTTCAGAATTGCTGTTTATGTTCTCTTTAAAAGTGGCAGGCAAGCAAATATTCCTTCAGTTTGGTAATTAATAATAGGTGGGAAGTGAACTATATCACTGCCCATCATCATCTCTGGATGTGGGAACATGTCCAGCTCAGGTCACACTGTTTAAATTTGCACAACAGGACCTAACACAACTTCCCATAGTATGTTTTTTTCAGTAGAATAACAAGCATGCAGTCTTCTTACAATGGTATGTTGTATGGTAGCTTTGATAAAGCGAATGTTGTCAGCCTGGAACTTGTGATTTATTACTTTATTTATATAGCACATTTCATGCAAAGTTGCAGCCCAAAACAAACTCAGAATAACCTTAGGTAAACAATATAAATAATAAATAGCAAAGGCAATTGAAGAAACAAACAAAGCAAATAGAAACAGTTTGACAAAACATAAAAAAAGACACCAGCAAACGCAACCCAAATTAAAAGGCAACTTTAAAAGATGGATTTAAAAAAAATACATAGGGGAGGGTGTTCAACAGTTTAGGGCCATAAAAACAGAAAGCAGCCTCACCAGATTTCTCGTGGGACACTTTAGGAACTTCTAACAGAAAGGCAGTGGGCATCTCTGAATTCTTGTTGGGACGTAAAATGACATGCAGTCACTACTACAGTATATTAGGGTGCAAGATTATGTAAGGCTTTGTAGAAGTAAAAGGACTTTGAATTCAAATGTAAAATATACAGGTAGCCAGTGCAGTGATGTGAGCAGAGGGGTAATGTGATCTCATTTTTTGTACTAAGCAAAATCCTGGCTGCAGTGTTTTGAATTATCTGTGGTGGTCACATTTTGGCAATGTTCCTCAGATGAAAAAGTGATGTATTTGCAACCTTGTTAAAATTTCTAATGAAATTAAGATCAGAATCTAAAACAACTCCCAGACAGAGACATACTAGTAAACACTGACTCTAGTATCTGCCAAGTAGAATTCCTGTTTTTCCTTCTTTTCTTGTTTTAACCCATCCACAATTTAATATCAGGGAGACAGGTAAAAAAAGAGAAAAAATGGTGTTGTCTGGCAGGACAGAGATAAAAAGTTGTGTATCATCAGCATAACTGTGATATTTGACATTATGGTGATTCATTCTGTTGCCCAGAAGGAGGATATATAAGGAAAAAAAGAATATAACTAAGAATGCTTCCTTGAGGAACACCATTTTCAAAGTCAAATGTCTGTGACACCTTTGCCTAAGCTAACAAAGTTTATCAAAAAGAGGACAGCCGCATTGTCTAAATCAGTCGAAATTTTCAGGTAAGATGAACATTATCTTCTGATTATTAGAATACAGCATACGCCTTAGTGCTGAATCTTTTTCTCTCAGGTCCACAGCTGTCTGTGGGTAAGCAAGAGGCCTTTGAGATCTTCATCAGGGACCATAGGGACAACTTGACCATTGAAGACAATAAGAAGCTACTCAAACAGAGGTTAGTTACCAGTAGGACAAGTTGTTAGACAGTTTGACAAATTCACATCCTGATATTGCCTAAAGTTCTTGTTCTGCAATATGAGCAATGTGAGCAGTATATGTGACATTTATATTCAGCTCTCATTTGATGCTATTTTCTCCTTTAATCAAATGCATTTTTGTACTGTAGCTTTGCCATCCAGATGCCTGAGTGAGAGTACAATGTAAATTAAAGGATAACTTGCTAGTTCCCTGAGCATTTTCAACAAAGCTCTGTCAGCATCATAGACTGTATATAAGAAATGGACATAGGTTTGTGGACTGCTGATTTGAAGCCTCGAGTTTGGCTGATAGGACGCGGCCATGTCATGTTTTTGCAACCAGGAAGTGCCCGGAAGTGACGATACGGCGGAGCTAACAGCCTTGTGCAGAGCTAGCTAGCTTGCTTAGCTAGGTGCAACTGTAACTCACGTTAACTGTCATTTTAACAGGTCTAGCGACCATTTAGTTTTAACACTCTTAAAACTAAATGTACTCACCAGAGAAAGTGAACAGCCAACTCCTAATAAGCTTTTTCAACAGCGCTGTGTAAATTTAACCAGCGCCGTTGAAAAAGCCCTGAAACATACTCTGCTTTGTGGTCTATTTTAAAATAAATGGGACCATAATTTACTAAATGAACATCATTTTGAATTGAAGACGACTTGAAACTAGCGACTGAGACCATAAACTCATCAGGAAAGTGTTTACTGGGTTAATTATTCAGCTGAGAAGTAGGGTCATTTTCCCATTATTTCTAATGGAGCCGGACTTCTTTTTGCAACCAGAAGAGTCGCCCTCTGCTGGATTTTCAATAGAATGCAGGTTTCAGGGACTTCTGCATTCACTTCATATTGTAGACCGGAAGCTTCCCGCATGGTCAGCATGAAAGACATGGAAGTGGTGTACCTTGGTCATTGATCACATTCAATTGATAAAATATATTTTTTTGCAGCATTGGCCATTAACACTTGCATTCTTTTTAATAGGTCAGCTGAGGCTAGAAGACTTGGGGAGCAACTGAACGAAGCCAGAAACAGAATCAGTAAGTTGTCTCAACAGTTGTAAGTAGCCCTTCGGACATTACATTACAATTAGGAACTGAGAAAATGTTAAATTCTACATTTCACTGCCCTCATCATCATCATCCTACTGGTAAACAAGGTCTGAGGTGAAAGCCCCAAAGAACATTGATCATTTCTGTTATTGTTCTCTGGGTCCCAAAGACACCACCTGACCCGCCTGGAAAACGTTAATAAACAGATCACTGTCGGGGTTCCGTTTCCATGGGGTATAGAAATGTCGTTTAGCACATTCCTGAACTTTTCCAGGAACGAGTTCTGATTTCCACCCACCTAGTCCTCCAACCTGTGTTTTTTACTAGCCTGGCTCAGGCTGTTTTATGATGACTCTGTAAGCACACTCATGTGTTCTTCTGGGCAATGTCCTTGACAGGTAGCCTTACTGTGCCAAAATGAGGCCTGGCATAAACCCTACCTTCAGGACTTTAGCTCCAAGAAATAAACCAGGCTTTTGCCCGAAGTTCCTCTGTTGTGAAACATACATATGTGTGTACTACTGTGTGTCACCACTTTGACCTCATGGATGTAAAAATGTACTTAGATAAAAGGAAAAAGTAGGTTAGTATACTCTGCATTACATTTTAAAAGTTAAAAGCACATTGATTTGATTGTTTAGAAACATTTAAACGATTAAAGAAAATGCCAAATTATAATTGGAAGTTATTCCACACTGATTTTAAATCTCGGTACGAGTAACTTTATTCACTAATGTATCTGCATCAGGTGCTTGACCGTGTCTGCTCAAAGACAAGTCCTGTCACCAGTGGCAATAAGTTAAAATGATTTTACTGCACTTTGGTTGGATTTTCCAGTAAACTCAAAGCAGTTAAAACTGTGTTATTAGGACTCGATCTGGTTTGCATTTACTATTGCAAGCTACTATTTATGAATTTCCCTGGACTGTGTATGTTTGTGGCTCATTTCACATGCCATTGAAATGGATAGGTTTGCCTCACACCAGTGCCTGGCATCATTGCTGCCTCAGATCACGCTTGGTGGTTTGGTAGCATTCAGCTGTTAACCCTCATACATGCCAGCATACACTAATCACCCTTGGAATTTAAATTTTTTCAGCATTCAGTCCATGAGCTGCTGACACAGCCGTCATACTTCACTCAGGTATCATGTAGGATATTAACTCTTCAAATGTGTTCTGCAGACATCACTGTGTGGGTAGAGTATGGAGAATTTGCTAAATGAATGTAGTTTTTTGATAATATTTAACATTTGAATTGTTCAATGTATTAAACTTTGGAAAGATACCCAAAAACATCTTGATGCTGTCAGATATTATTACATTGTTAGGTGCATGGAGCTGCATTCTTCTGAGATGAGAGACAGTGTTTTTAGTGGAAGGTGGTTGCCTCTTCTGGATGGAAAGTAGTACCATAATTTTTAGCTCAGTGTGTTTCCTTGCCATGTTGGAAGCCGTGCTTGGAAATTTCACACTACCTATGTCTCGTGGTTAATGCAGAACATGGAAACATTTAGCATAATATAGACAAAAGCTTTGTGATGCTTTTCCTGATGGATGTACCCAGCATGAGGGTCAGTAGCCGGGGAGAAAGGGAGAGGCAGTAGCCCATGGAGACACCAGTGTCTAAACATTTCCTTGGTTGACAGTATTGTTCTTGGCCACAGCATATGACTTTGGAATTCAGTCCCACTGGAGGAGCATACGTTCCAAGCCCTTAGGTCCAAAAAGTGCAAGGATATATATTTATTCAGAGGGATCAGTGATGCACATCTTCTACAGCATGAAAGTGTAGGGCAGCTGGAAATAAGCAGCATCTCCTGATTCCTCTGCCAGATGTGCCGGAATTTATGCAGTACAGTCCTAGATGGAGCATCTGGTAACTGCCTTGGTATCCCACTTTCATCCTCTGCTCACCTTTGCTTAAGTGACCCAATGGCCCAAGGATTCTGAGATACAAAAGGAATAGGAAAGTCTGTCATTGCCAAGAAGATTATTTTCAAAGCACTTGAGGAGGAATATTGCAGGAAGAATGCAACTTGATTTCTGCATTGCATGTGGTCTTTGTAATAAACGGCCACTAGATTTTACATGATGTTGCTAATGCTATCAGCTGCTCAGAGAGGTTTATGTAATATTTCTGGTTTGGATTATGGCCTCAGACAAAACTGTCAAGAACACAGCTGTCCAACAAAAACACAGACTGCTACATACAACTCTCAGTTTAATATTAACAACCTTTTACATGTTTCATTTAATGTGAATCTCTTGTGGTGGTAGTTTATTATTCAAATTATATTTGTGCACTTTAGTATTTTTGTCCAAGATCTTCATGTTACTTTGTGCTTTGTACTGACTTAATGAGGCATTTATTATACATTCAAATACGCTTGAATCGACAACCACCCAGATATTGAGAAGCTGGATAGTAGGTATAATCTTTGGAACTTGAGCTTTCTGTGGTATTTGTGTGGCATATCACATTTAACCTCCAGGCCACAAAAATCACCAAATATTTATTGAGGCTTGTAGCTTGAAACCGGTTCTTTAAGACGACGGCACATCTCCTGACAATGTGGGGGGAAACGCTGCCTGGTTTGGAAGAGGTTGTGGTGTTGAGCCCACAGTCTTGTCCTAGAAGAGGGTAGGAGCACTCAAGTGTAATGAAGTATTGCAGTAAGCCCACCACACACCACTATTACTTGACGCATGTGCAAATTAATATTGTCTGGAATTTTCTTGTCATTGATGGTTAGAAATACTGTTGAAATTGCAGACATATGTAGAGTTTCACCAGGATGTCCTGACCAAATAGTCAGTATTGTTTGACCCTTCAGTCATCATGTACAGTATATCTTCAGTAATATGGCCAACAGCAAATCCAATTGTTGTGCCCTGATCCTGATAAATATAGATAGTCATCATGTTTAACTGATTGCCTTTGAGGTTTTGAAAAAGCACAAAGCACAAGTACATGGTAGTGTTGGCCCCATGTGCTCTTGTTGTTGCTCCCTGCACTTTTTCACCCTGTCAACATGGCATACCCACAGCATAAATATCTCTTAATCCTTTTATGTTATTGTGAAAGAAAGAGACTATGTATCCTTAGTTGTTTGTCATTGAGAAAGTTGTGTCTGTAAGAAGACTTGGGCTGACCGCAATATAAAGTATCTCACAAAAGTGAGTACACCCCTCACATTTTTGTAAATATTTGATTATATCTTTTCATGTGACAACACTGAAGAAATGGCACTTATCTACAATGCAAAATAGTGAGTGTACAGCTTTTATAACAGTGTAAATTTGCTGTTCCCTCAAAATAACACATTAAACAGCCATTATTGTCTAAACCGCTGGCAACAAAAGTGAGTACACCCCTAAATGAAAATGTCCAAATTGTGCCCAATTAGCCATTTTCCCTCCCTGTCATGTGACTTGTTAGTGTTACAAGGTCTCAGGTGGGAATGGGGAGCAGGTGTGTTAAATTAGTTTAATTTGTTATCGCTCTCACACTCCCTCATACTGGTCACTGAAAGTTCAACATGGCACCTCATGGCAAAGTACTCTGAGGATCTAAAAAAAAGAAAGGTTGCTCTACATAAAGATGGTCTAGGCTATAAAAAGATTGCCAAGACCTTAAAACTGAGCTGCAGCACGATGGCCAAGACCATACAGCGGTTCAACAGGACAGGTTCCACTCAGAACAGGCCTCGCCACGGTCGACCAAAGAAATAGAGTGCACATGCTCAGCTTCATATCCAGAGATTGTCTTTGGAAAATAGACGTATGAGTGCTGCCAGCATTGCTGCAGAGGTTGAAGGGGTGGGGAGGTCAGCCTGTCGGTTCTCAGACCATAGGTGCACACTGCATCAAATTGGTGTGCATGGCTGTCCCAGAAGGGAGCCTCTTCTAAAGATGATGTACAAGAAAGCCCTCAAACAGTTTGCTGAAGAAAAGCAGGCTAAGGACATGGATTACTGGAACCATGTCCTGTGGTCTAATGAGACCACGATAAACTTATTTGGTTCATGTACTGTGACATACTGAAGGAGAACGTGATCCCCTCCCTTCAGAGACTGGGCCACAGGGCTGTATTCCAACATGATAACGACCCCAAACACACCTCCAGGATGACCACTGCTTTTGCTAAAGAAGCTGAGGGTGAAGGTGATGGACTGGCCAAGCAGGGCTCCAGACCTAAACCCTATTGAGCATCTGTGGGGCGTCCTCAAACTGAAGGTGGAGGAGCGCAAAGTCTCTAACATCCACCAGCTCCGTGATGTCGTCATGGAGGAGTGGAAGAGGACTCCTGTGGCAACCTGTGAAGCTCTGGTGAACTCCATGCCCAAGAGGGTTAAGGCAGTGCTGCAAAATAATGGTGGCCACACAAGATATTGACACTTTGGGCCCAATTTGTACATGTTCACTTAGGGGTGTACTCACTTTTGTGAGATACTGTAAATCCACAGGGCATAACAGTTCATTTACACTTCAGCTACCCTAACTACTGACTTTGTATGAAAATCCATGGCTTTGTGAAGGCTTCCTAAATCCTGCTTAAAACTCTGTAGGCATTGGGAAAAACAGTGTCATCACAGGCTCAATATGTGGGTCATTTACAGGGATGTACTGGGACTGAAATTCAGCCCGGGACTTTGAGACGGAGAGACCTTTAATGCCAGCGTCCTTTTGGGGGCGGGCATACATTGTTTTTGCAGTTATTTTAATACCTATTAGTGTTTTTGTTGTATACAGTGAATCAGATTATGCTGAAGACCTTCAAGAAACTTCAGGATAACACCTGCCTCTTCAGTTTGTATAAGCAAGGCAGCTCTGCACTGAACAAGACCAGGTCAGGCAAGCCTGAGTCAGTCAGAGGGCTAAAATACTTAAATATACTCAAAAACTACAATACATTCCTATAAAATATAGCAGTGTGTATGTATGTGCATACAAATCAAATCCCTCATCTTTATCTCTGAGTAGGCCTCTCCCTGGCTCAGCTCCCCCTGTGCTGGACCCTCTGCTTTTACTGATTGTACAGTTACATATACACGGGAAGAACTTCAGTAATAAATATGACTTACAATAATCCATTTTCTAATTCTTCAAACACACTGCCTCTGTACCTTTCACTGTTTTTTCTGGTTCCATTTACCTTCTCCTCTTGTTGCTTCTCATCCCTGTCCTCTTCCTTCTCCTCCTGCTGCTCTTCCTGTCCCTTCTCTCCCTCCTTATCAACATGACTGGGCTCATCATCACCCTGTCCCTGTGCATCACCACCACAGCTAATATACTTAAAGACATACAGAGATTCCTCGGTTAATTTGGCACATTTAGCTGGCTCTTATGCCAACATTTTTTCTTCTTCATCCTTATTTTTTCAGCATCACACATTTCTTTTTCCTCTTTCATTCTCTTCTCCACATTTACCGTCTCTATTGAGCCTATCACACAACCCAGCGCTGACTTCAGCCTCGAACGTTTGTAGATTAAACTCGCTCTAAGTGAAAAGTAAACTTCTTTGATCGGCCCTGTTGAGCCAATCAGATTTCAGCAAAAACGAAGATTGTTCCAAGTTGTGTGGCTGCAGCAGACTGGCCGGCCGTCGCGGTCAGGGATCATAAAGTAAAACTGAAAAATAAAAACTCCTGACTCCTGGCCAGTCCGCCCCTGGTCATTTATAACGCTTCACGCCATCCACCACGCCCACTGAAACCCTCAATACTACAACAAAAGTTTTAAAAGATGAGATGCATGGGCAGAATGCAAATTTTTACGTGTAACAATGAGAGCTCGAGTAAATCTCAACCTAAAGTCTGTAATAATAATATTGTTATACTTTTATTTATTAATCCCAGGATCTCTATAAGAGTCTCAGCTTTACTCAGGGTCACTTCAGCAGTACAGACGTTTGTCTTGAATGCTTTCAGTGTCTTCATCTTCTCTTTGACAAATCGAGAGCTCTAATCCAACTGTTTTGTGGCCGCAGGAGAGTTGTTGCATGAAAAGGTAGCACCCCCACACCCAGATTTTTACAGAATGATACTTGATCTGGATTTTTTGTTTGGAGCTTGGACCTTGGCAACAGGTTCATATTACAGAATGAGCTGCACCACAGCAGCGTCTACATGTGTAAAAGACCTGCGGGACTGAAATGGAAACTCACCACATCAGATACTGCCAGTCACTGTCTCTTATCTTTTGGTTTGCCTCCTAATTATTCTGGTCATTCACTTAACTCACCATCATTTTCTGTGATCTCACTGTGAAAAGATCGCCTTTTGTTCTCTAGTAAATTAATCCCCGAATGTGGTCATTTAGTGTCGATAGAAATGGCCTCAAATGTGGCCTGTACTTTACAATATGTTTATTTTTTCTCTACAGTTTGTTACAGTAAGAAGTTGTCGTTTGCCACTGAAGCATTGCATCACAAATGCAATATTTTCAATGGGACAATTAACTACTTCAATTAAGGGAAGAGAGTCAGCAAAAACAGACACAAATGACTTACCCATATGCTAACTTAGTATTACTGCCACAAGAGAGGCAGTTACTCAAAAAGCCTCTCTCATGTTGCTTCCTGGCACACTGGAGTCACGAGAGTTAATCCTGAGGTCTGTGGAAGTGTATAACTCAGCAGTATGTCCTGTCCTGTAAGATAATTTTCTGCAAAAATGTAATGACTCAAAAAGACAATACAATACATGTGTTTACTGTAACATCCCTTGTGTGCTGAGGTCATACGTTTGCCCACAAGTTGCCACAGTAAAGGGCCACTCGACCATTTTTAAAAACCTTTTTATATACAGTCTATGTTTAAAACGCAGCACTTTTGCTATGTTTGCACCTGCCATCCAGACTAAAATGGCGACTCCGAAGACCTTAAATGGAGAATGAAGTCTGAAAACGCTACTGAACACGTTTTTGTTTTAAAACTCCAGGGTAGCGTATAAGTGCGGACAGGCAAAAGCGGAGGACTTTAAAAACGATGACGCAGACACTTACATTTGGCTTCCTGATGGCTTTTATAAGTCGTTGGCTCTCAAAGTGGGGTCCGGGGATCCCCTGCAAAAAGGGGAATCAATTATTTTCATTATAATGCCATCCATAAGTAACATAGTGACTGAATGCATGACTATTTTGGTCATGGATTTCATATACTTTCTGTAATAAAATATCTAAAAGCCAAATCCAATCAGATTGGTGAACCTGGGATAAAATCGTGTCAAATAGGGGGTCCGTGGTCTAAATTGTGTCGGTTTAGGGGTCTTTGATGTGAAAAAGTTTGAGAACCACTGTTTGCAAAGCAAAACCTCAATTCTACTGAGTTTTTAGTTTTGGTATTTTTATTTAAATATGTTGCATTTTGCAAATGTGTCAACGTATTTGCTTTGCGACGATTCTGTTTTCCACCTCCACTGTCGCTTTGAACTCCAGTGTTACTTTCAGTAACAGTTCCACCTCATTGTCAGTCCATTCAAAAAATGAATCTCTGGTGTGGTTCTTCTCCATTGCTATTCAAATGGGCACTAGATGTGCGTTTTCAGTCATTTTAATAGACGGAAATCAATTCTGATATGCAGCTAAAACGCTGGCTTGGACGAAGATTGTTTTCATTTTAAAACTCCACTTTAAAACGTAATAGCGTGGATGTAGCCTAAAAGCCTTGACCTCTGTTGCTTAGATTTTGACCATTCTATTGTTAATTTGTCTCTTGTCAGTGCCCTCACTTTACTGAATTGCAAAACTTAATCACCAGAATTCCCCTTTGGTGTTGGTGAGACACAGATATCTTGACCCAGGTCAGCCACTGCAACACTGAAAAACATGTCATTGATGCTAACTGACAAACTACAGACTTAAAACCAGTCTAAACCAAGAGGATTTATGCTGTTTTGTTGCTACATACAATAGTTCTTATGTAGGCAACTGGGTTCAGAGAGGTGGAATAGGTGCACCAATTACAAAATGGTGATTTTTAAATGGCTCTCGTATGTTATGAATGGCTGATGCTAAAAAAAAAAAAAGTGTACTGAAATAAATATGGAAGATTAATGTAACTTATTACTTTATATACATGTAGGTGAATATGACAGAAGATGCATGTATACAATATACAGTGAATACAGTTTGCTTATATTTATATTGATAATCATGAAATGTACTTTTTAAAAACATAGATAATTTATAATTTGTGGGTACAGTGGATGTTGTAGTATTACAGTGTTATTGCACAGGGATTGTTTCTGACTATTCATCAAAGTGATGGCCAATGGGAAGAAACTGTTCTTGTGTCTGGTTCTTTTGGCATACAGTGCTTTGTAACGCCTACCAGAGGGGAGAAGTTGGAACAGGTTGTCTCCAGGGCGCGATGAGTCTGCAGTGAAGTTTCCTGCCCATTTCCTGACTCTTGTACAATATACAAGTCTTGAATGCAGGGCAGGTTGGCAATAATGATTTATTCTACAGTCCTGACGGTCCGTTGTAGTCTGTTTCTGTCCTGTTTGGTGTCTGATCCAAACCAGACATTGATGGACGTGCAGAGAACGGACTGGAACTTCCTGAGCTGGCACAGGAAGTACATCCTCTGCTGGGCCTTTTTGATTCTACTGCACACTGGAAACTAATTTCTTTTCTCTTTTTCTCAGATGAGTTGAAGAAGCAGTTAGAGATGCAGAGGAGGCAGAGGGCTGCTCATGGTAAGATCAAACAGAGAGTGGATATTTCCAGAGCAGAATTTTAACCATGTGTCTATAGAAGAGTAGCATAATATCCAACTCCATGTACCTACACCAACAGCCTCCCAAGGATCAATAGAAATGATGAACAAAGTTGTCACAAATGAAAACTCTGTTAAATCTGTGGTAGGCAACCAATGAAAGACAAAGCCCGGCATCTGTGACTGTCACATGACTGCAATAAGCAAGGCCAATCATTTAATTCAGACTGGCCTACCTAGTGACAACAGAACCTCCCTACCTGCGCACACTCACTTCGCATGAACATGTGTTTTGGGGCATTGGCTTTGGTGGGAGGCCTGAAGGGAGGGAGTGGGATTTTTTTCAGTTGGATACTTTGACAGTTTAGCTGTCTCTTGCTAGGTCTCCCTCTCTTACCCCAACTGTAATCATCTTGATATTGAACTCCTTTCAGAAGGGGTTGTGGGTGCTCTTGCACTGTATGTGCAGCAGTGCCCACTTCAAAGCCTTTGCTGTAGACCTCACTGACTGAAAGCTTAGTGACCAAAAACTGGGCGTCACAACTCTAAGACTCCTTCATTTACTGTTTTCTGACGGTTTTGATCAGGGATATAAATGCTTTGATGAGGATATCTGGTTGTAAAGCACACAAACATCTCCCCTTCAATTCAGACGCCAAAGGCTTTTCTTGTTATTTTGAGTCCAGCATCAGAGAACACTTCACAGCAGCCTGGCTTCTATTATCCAGGGCCAATATTTAAAGCGTTGGCTTTCAAGGAAATGCACTTACATGTATACAACACGCACTTACTAGCTTCTTGACTTGAAACAAAATAAAAGAACTAATTCTGCCTACAGTATGTCCTCATTAGTATCTGTCTCTAAAACGTTTGCCATGGCTTCTGCCTGTCCGTTTCTACTTCAGGTGTAATGTGGAATCATACGGAGGTTGAGGAGAGGGTCGATCCAGTGGAAGAAAACCTGTGCAAACACATTGAGCAAGAAAAACAGGCGTGAGTGTAGTATTTTAATGCATTACCATACTAAATGTTTTCATACTTTCTCCTAAGACCCTGCTCTGATTGATTAGACACAGCAGATGCTGTGTTAGGCTGACAAAAGATGAATTTGGTACTGCTAATATCCCCCCTCAGTTACAAGAGCACCATTGGGCGTCTAAAAGCATTGAGGACAGAGATTGAGCACTTACAGCTGTTGTTGGAGAGGGCAAAGGTCAAGCTCCAGAAGGACTTCCATAAGTGGTGGAGCCAGGAGGCTTCCAGTGTGCAGGTGACTGACCTTAGCTTTCTCTACCTATCTATGTGACAACACCACATAAAGCTTCTGAAAGCTAGTGTGTGAAAGATATGTTTCTGACATTAGGAAGGAAGGCTTGTCTGTTGATTTTTTGTCTCAATATTTATGGATGTTTTCTTTTTTGTTTTCTGAATATTGGCCTCTATGGACATATTTGTGTGTGTGTGTGTGTGTGTGTGTGTGTGTGTGTGTGTGTGTGTGTGTGTTGATGTGTCTGTGCATATGTTCGCAGGCCTTTATGGCACCAGTGTGACCCTTGCAGCCTCTGTTCAGCATCATGCTGAATGGGCCCTGGTGGGTAGATATGTAGGAGTGGACAGGACAGAAACACATTTTTACAGAATTCCATGCGCCCCAAACAAGGGCCTGGAGAGCAGCTTAGAGGAAAGACAGCACCGGCATCAGTACATAGTCGTAAAGTAGAGTCTTAACAAGCACAACGTGTTCGTGAGGTTTCTCAGGAACACAGGGGAGGATAAGAAGTGAGTCAGTGTTTAGTTCAGTCCTAAATAATAAGTTTGTGCTGATGCTTAAATACTTAAAAGAAGAGAAAGATCAGTTGAAAACTCCTAAATTATGAATAACACTGTTGTAGAACTAGAAGTCTCTGGTCTCACACTTACACACTTGGCCTTGACGGCTGCTGTGCACATTTTAGAGAAAATGTTAAGCAGCGACATCTGACCAGCAGACACCGCTGGCTTCTCCTCTTTGGTTTTGATCTTATGAATGGAGAACAATCTCACTCACATCTGAGCAAGGTCTGGGAATGTATCACTGAATGACAAATGGAAAGAAGAGGAAGTCTGACAGACAGACAAGCAGGACATTTTCCTTGCCAGGATACGTATATCCAACAGCTTTGTTCTACCATGTCTTGTTCTGTTTTTGGAAAATGGTACGCATGTTATTGATTAAAGTTTGAGTAAGAGGTTTGATGGAGCTAAATACCCGAGGTCTTCCGTTCCCTCTAGCTGTTGCAAGTTACATATGGCCACATTGTGTTTAACTGTCATCGGCATCATCCGCGTGGAATGGTGTTTTTGCAGAGAAGTGTAAAACAGTAATTTCTCAATGATTGCGACTAGGAGTCTGAGTCAGAGGCCAGAGCCAGATCTCGCACAGGGTCGCCAAGTGGAACCTTGCAGCCGTCTTCACCTGGTACTCTGGGATCTCGGTGAGACACATTTTCTGTGATTTATGTACAAGCTGACTGACTGCTTTTTGGCTGTCCTTCCATCCCTCCAGCAGATTCAAATGTACACCTATTAAAAGTTGTGGGCCATTATATTTAGATGTCTCTACTCAGCCGATTAGTTGCACACAGAAGCCAACCAAGTTACAAGGAGAAACACCTTCCCCTCACGGACTCACTTGCACTCAATTCATTGATATGGTTATTTTTACCTTCTCACCATCTGTGCTTAAATAGTACTTGTTTCTATGGAACAAAAATTAAAAGATAATGACATTTAGATTATTTTCCCATCAGCAACCATGGTGATATTAGCAGGGGAAGTGGTTCCCACTATAATTAGACATTTAGCAGCGAGACAGGTGATATTTCACATACCATGTCTGCCACAAGTCTGCCATGACTTTGGTTCTGACAAGGTTTTGATCACAGATTTTGTATCCCATTCACAGAAACACTGAGCACAATATTTGTCCAGTGCAGTCTGAGTAGTGAGGATGTGGACACACAGACACATCTTTGCTACTCTGACTGCATCAGGCTATCTGCAGGCCTTGAAAAGTCTTAAAAAACATGGAATTCAGTTTCCTTAAATGACCATGGATGGTATTAGAAAGTCTTAAAAAAATGACAAGTCATTTAATTTAGAAAAGTCTGAAATATTTTCTCTTTCCTATTGTAGGGAGTAAAAATGTAAATGTTTTTCTGTCCATTTGTGGGCAGTGAGGGTTGGTTAGTTAGTGGTTTGTTCACTGGAGAGGCTGTTCTTTTTGTGGGGTTTCAGTCAGCCCCTTCAGACCTTTATGCTGTCACTACTGCTAACAACAGTAGCTAGGAAGCGTATTGTAACATTATTGCCAAATAGGGTTGCCAACTGTCCCGTATTAGCCGTGAAGTCCCTTATATCAGGCCTAATTAATTTGTCCCATACGTGACGTCTCTTGTCCAGTTTTTTGACTACTATGCTGATCTAACCACTGACTGATACAACAGCAACAGCAGCAATGCTGATCACGACACTTGACAATGGTCACCGACACCTGTCATCATCCAATCACAGCGGGATATCCTGACTGATCTAATTTATCCCCGACGGAAGGTGAGCCGGTGGCAACCTTTTACTTGGTTGCCACCAACGCTTCAAACAAGTGAAACAGAAAAGATATATTTCTGTGTCTGATGGAATGCGGTGATAGTTACTTGACTTTTATGAAGATAGTGATGAAACAGCAAATAGTAACTCCCTGACAAAGCATGAACTGGAAGTAAAACACATCACAGATGTTTTGTGTTATACTAATAGTAAAGGTACAGCATACAGAAGCTATGTTCTTTTTAGTTTGTCACATGTACACAAAGGGGATAACCTTTTCTAACCAGTGCAAGAGTCACAAGTGTTTTGTATTAGACAAATAGTAAAGGTAACAGGTAATGCTTCAATTAAAGGACTGTGTTAAAGGTACCTGCTCTAAATAAACTAAAATGAAACCTACCATATGTTGCCATGGCATGAGAGTAATGTACAAATGACAAATTGCTTCAAGCAATACGCTGTATATTCACACAAAACAATATCCCCACTGCCTCCCTCAGCACCTTTTGTCCCTCATTTCATTGACAAAGTTGGCAACACTATTGCTAAATGTCAATTTTGACAAAAACTAAACAGATCTTTTTCATCATACTTTCATACTTTGGCCAGTATGATCATATAACATGTCTTAAATTGCATTCTTTGTGGTATTAAAAAGGTTTTAACAAGTTTTAAATTTGGCTTGGTGAACCCTGCACAGACTCTGGGTGTTTTGCATTGTTGCGCCCTCTTGTGGTTGAGATAAGCAAATGTATATGATGATACTGAAAAACAGAGAGAATGACACCGGTACAGACACCGGTGAGATACAATGAGAACCAGCTGTAGACCCACCACTTGAGTTTCATTTGGACATTCTGCTGTATTGCAGCTGAAGATACAGATAACCTGCGGTATTATGGTGTAACAATCTTTATGAAATGCTCTCCTAACTTGTTATACAGTGCACCTGCTCCGGGCAGTACTGTGAGAGACTCTTCAGCAGGGCCAGTCATGGATCTCAGGTTTGTCTAGCTTCACTTAATGTCTTATTTGTTTACTATAACGTACTACTGGATTGTACTGCACGTCACACTTTGTCCTGTTGAATTTCAGAAGCTTCATCCCCAAGAGCGTACCTCCCTCCACAGCTGTCCCAGCATGGCAAGATAAGTCCCAGGATGGGAGGGTGACTGACTTCGCTCCATCTGAGTGGAGGTATATGGAAGGCTGGTTTGGCAAGTTGTAAATGCCTTTGAAAACTACAGATTTAGTTCTTTGTGTAATTATAGCACCTCCATCCATCAAATTTGTAGCTCTCTAGGCTTTTCTCTATCAAACACTAAGCACAAAGAAACCCTGTGATTAGGATTTGCAGAATTGATTAATAAAAAGAGAATTTTGTATCCAATTTAGTTTAAGAACCGTGCATGCTCACAACTACGTGTACACCTTTCAACACATAAACTAGAGTGGCGTATTCGACATAAGAACAGTAGCTGTATAGTCTGCATTTAGCCTGGACCTGTAAAGTTTATAGCCTTACTTTGTTTTCTTTCCACCTTTTTTATTTCTTTGTGAAGTAATGTCTCCAAACTGTATTACAGTACAGACCTGGGGTTTCGCTTGAATGCTGCTGCTGAAACTACCTTTTTACAACCGCAGTAAAACACCCAATACATAACATTTATGCTTTTGTTCGTCTCCAGTAACCACTTGTAGGACAGAGATATTATTCTTTTATATGTACGCACAAAAACAATTCAAACATATTACAGCACTGGTGTTTAGAACGGTAAGGGTAAGGGATTGTTAAAAGATTTGCTTATTTGTGTTAAAGAAACTAAAGAATCTATACTGATATTAACATACTACATGACACGCATATCCATTTCAGGGCCCTTTCCACCACCAAGCTCTCATCCTCCTCTATATCCCTGACTGGAGATCAACAGGCTGATGCCGACATCCTGGCCTTTGTCAGAGCCAGGCAAAACCTTCTCTACAGGACTGGTACTCACACACAAAACAAGAAATAATACACACACTAAGCTTTCACACAATATGCATTTTGCATTCAACACTGCCCTCTGGTGGTGTGCTGACTTACAACACTTCACCTGACAAGAAAGTTTATACCGGGAGACCATAAATGTCTTGTTTTCAGCTTTTGAGAGTTGTTTAATGAGTGTACATCACATTCTATGTGTTCTATATTAGAAACGACCTGTAACATATAACACTTGATAAGCCACCAATTACAAGCTGAAGATGATTTCAGTTTCACTTTTGCTTTGCTCCAGCAGTAGTGCGTGATGAGTAGGGCTTTTTTTGGGCAGGAGCCCATAATTCACGGAAACAGGTATCGCAAAACACTGACAGAGCTCATATTTTGCTGTTACGCAGTTCTTCTCTGTTCTCTGTTCCACACACACTCTCTCTCCCCTCCACTGACCCTTGTGTAGCTGCTTACTTTGGCAGACAGTAAAGTGGACTTGGCTGTCTTGTGGTTTGCCACTAGATATCCAGAACAAGGTCATGTGAACAGACAGAACCATGGCCAAATGAGCAGAGACACCAGACAGAACAATAGTCAGGCTGAGGAAGATATTTGCCCTTTCTTTCTTTCCATCTGTCTGTCTATCTTTCCTTTCTTTTCTTTACCCACTCTAGGTAAGGAAGATTTCATGCCTCTTTATCTGGCCACCACTAAGCTGGATAGCAACTGTGTTTAGACTCTCCTTGGCTGTTTGGTAATCCCTGTATGGTGGTAACACTCCTACTAAAAACAGCTTTTAAGTCACTAGTGCATGATGGGAAAAAGACAGACTGCACGATTTCAGAGTGGAGGCTGTTATTGGAGGTAGAGTTCGAGTAGTTTATGGGGTGGTTCACTGTAATTTAATTTCAGGGATTGTTACTCTGAAAATAATAAAATGTGATGGCTGAAGGGAATAATTTTGGCCATTTTTTTTCTTGCTTATTTGTTCTTGTACTTTCAACTGGATGTCCAATCTGCCATGTGTTTTTTTTATGTATTTCAGGCCCACCTCAGTAATAACATGAAGTTCCGATGAAGTATGCAAAGCCTGAAGTTATCGTCACCTGACTGCTTGTAAAAGCCCCAGGTTTGAGAGGCCGTAGAAGGATGCTAAAAATGTGGATTCAACATTATTGAGTATTGGTAGACTGACAATGAAGATGTGTGAAGAAGTGATCTTAACAGGGTCTGAAATATATTAGATTTATCAAAAAAAAAAAGACCCCTCTGCCAAACACAAGCCACACATCCTGTCTGATTTTACATGCATACACACAGTTGTTGACCTCCTGGAGATTATGCCAGTGATATACTGTACAGCAGTATAAATCACAGCCTGCGCCGGCCATTTGATCTGAACAAATGTTGTCTCAAGATATCAGAGGAAGGAGCGGAAAATAGGAAACCAGTTGGATCCAGTATGTGTTTAAAGTAATGAATCATGACTTTTTAAATGGTCGTAGGAAGTTTGGACATTTAAAATCACACATGAATTTCTGTCTGGTTTCATTTTGTTCTAAAAGTGTTACACATTTTGTGTGAAATGTTGTACAGAGAGGTGTAGTTGACAGGATGTGCAGTAGTGTACGTTTATTTCTGAACTACATTAAAGAGTGTTAATGTTTTGTTGTAAATCTGCACAAAATATTGAATAAAAAATAAAAGAATTGCAAAATCCTTAACGTGTTTAACTGAAGTACTTACTACTGTAGTACTGCCGTTACTAGCCTAAGATGTTAGTGAGTTACACATAGCATCAGTTGTTTGGGCCCTCATTATATCCTACTGTATATGCCTGTTCTGTATTCTGTGGGAAGCTCGTGCCACATGATTTAAACTCAGTACAGGCTTTACATTTTTTGTGAATGTTTTGATGAATGCTACTCACAATTGTTGTTTTCTTTTATCATCCCTAATGCTAAATCTCTTTCTTATAATTCTTCCTTTACAGTTACTCTCTTGCAAATGGCCATTGAAGTATGGGGTTGCTGTGGCTAATTTTCCTATGGAATTCAACTGGAAAATTACCTAGTACAATTTACTTCCTTAAGTGATTCTTTACATATGTCAGCCATGAAATGTATAAGGACGACCAAGACTTTGGTTTGCATCATACTTGTACGTCAATACTGTGAAAATGGCCCAATAGTAGTCAAATTTATTCCACATTACCAATACCAGTAAACAGGAAATCCACCCTTAATTACATTCCAATGGCGGTATGGAGGAGTAAACTGTGTCTCTAAGCTCTCCTCCAAATATGATCTCTATTTTCAAGTATTGTACAGGTCTGGGCACAGACTGGACAGAAGGCACTATAGACAGGTCTCCAGTTTGTACACAGCTTCAAGCTACAGAATTTGATATTCAAATAGGTTTGCCAACATTTTCTTTGCATTGAATATTGAACTGAACGATCATTTACTTTGATAATTCAGTGTATATAATATCAGTCAAACTAAGTTACAGTCAATTGTCCGACTGCCACAGCGCTCCTGGCATTCTCTGTATCCGTCATCCCTGGAAATCAAATCTATCCGGTCTCCTCAGAGCCATCGCTACAAACCTATCCAAACAGAAGACAACCTGTGAACATCAGAACAACCTGTTTGCATGGCTTTGGGTTGATTTGTTTGACAGATGCGCAATTTGCATCCGGGCAGAGTTGCCTTGGAGAAAGGGCATTCTTTGATCAAGTCATAATATCTTATTTCTTTCAGTCTCATCACGTCTCTTTTTTTCTTCAGTTTTGTTTAGGTAAGCCAAAGGTTAACATCACAGGGTGTTTTCTGTGCTGAGACCATGCTCTCCTTGTTGCCTGTTTTACCCTGATTGATGAAGAAAGTACTTCTGTTTGGCACTGGTCACAGAGAGTGCTGCGCTCATGTTTCTCCTCGGCCGAGCGTAACGGTGACTTTCTTACAAGTGTATTCAAAGCTCACACCGTAATAGCCGCAGAACTCCCAGCTTGTTTTCTCACATGATGTATAAATAAAATGATGTCAATATAAATAAAACATGCCCACTTTATTCACCGATGGCCAGAGGGTGTGTTTAATCTAGCAACACTGGCGAGACGTATTACATTATGAAGATATGTAGCCATCATAGAAATGCCACTGTTTATCATATTCTGCCCCACTGGGAGTTTGGACAGTTCTTTTCATTCAGACAAGCTGTGACTTCGGGACACCAAACTACCAGAACAGAACTGAACATTTCCACGATACAGCTGTAGTTGTTGGCATCTACTCCAAAGTGCTTTTCTTCCATTACACTTTTTGGCCCGCAATCAAGCAGTGCTCTCCAAGACAAACATATCATCTCTTTTCTCTTCATCTGACTAGAAAATGTCTGATGTTTGTTCCAGCAGACTTCTATGGGTTAGATATGTTTAGCTTGTAGACTGATGAGATTTTGACCAAGTCCATACTTAATTAAAGTAAATGCATCTCCTCTGACATGGCTCAAGTTGTGGCCCCAGTAAATTCTTATTTCAACAGCAGTTTCAGCAAAGTCTGTCAATTCAGGAGTCCAGTAGTTTGCGGTTGCACAATGCAGAATCGAACGGCTCTAGCATCTGCGCTCCACCATTGTGGGTGCTCGAACAACCAACAGCAGTCAGATCAAATATTAACTTTTACTCTGCAGACAAGATGCTGCCACCGCTTCCTTATTAGTGGAAACAGTTGAAAGTGTATGTGTGTGTCCAGATGTCACGCTAATGGAGAGGAGGAGCATGACCGTTTCCCAAGCAACCCATAAATCAGCCCCCAACACCTACGTTACTCTGAAGGATCGGAGCATTGAGTGGAGAAGTTTTACCTTCAGAGGATTATTCAGTTAAGACCGTCACTCCAAGTTACAGCTGTGCCAGACATCAGTCTTCCTTGATGTTGCTGTGATTTAGATTAGAGCCTTGAGAGCAATACATTTTTGTCTCAGAATTTCCTATTCCCTCTTTTGGAGAAGAATGCCTCAGTCTTAACAATGGAAGGTGTTCTTTGGGGAACTATTCATGAGACCTGCATATTTCATCAAGACACTGATTGTTAGTACTTATTGAAGCGATTGACCTCTTCTCTGAGTTTGAGCATCAGTGTCTGTGTACATTTCGGTGGTGGAGGAGGTTGATGGCAAGGTTCCAGTTGCTCCGGGTCAAAGTGAGCTGGCCAGTACTCTTAGCTGTGGCCCATTTCACATACCTGCTGGTCGGGGCCACCATCTTCCAGATACTGGAGCGAGAGGCTGAGAGCAACAGCCGAACCCACTTCCAAATGGAGAAGTTAAATTTCTTGGCTAATTATACCTGCCTGGACGGACCAGCCTTGGAGAAGTTTGTTCAGGTGGGGTTTTTTTCGGCTTTCTTTTTGCGTTTTGTGGAATTTGTGCATGTGTTCTTGAAGTGTAAAGGTAGAAAATTCACAATTTATAATGTAAGCCTTATCTGGATTTTGGATTAGACCAAATTTGTCACTTCTTTTTAATATTAAAAATGGTAAAATGCTAAAACCCATGGCCTGTCTTTATCAAAGTAGTGATGATTGCCAAAAGGCCAATAGTTGAATACGAGTCTGTACATATACAAATATGTTTTTAATCACTGAGCAAATATGATGATGAAAAGGGCTCATCAAATACTCAGTTACAGAGAAAATGGAAGATCAATTTTATGATCAGGTTCGGTACATAGCAATAAAAGGTATTACAGTGACCTGACCTGATAAATCAATAAGTGTGTCCAAAAAAAAAGTCCAAAATAAGTGATTAACAGAGTATATGGTAAGCATCTGCTTACCATGTACTGCTTACCAATTTGCTTGTTATATGTCCAAATGTAAAGGCAGCTGAGAGTGACCTTATTGTAGGATTTTAATAAACTGTATTGTGTGTGTTTGCAGGTGATTTTGGATGCCTGGGAAAAGGGAGTGAATCCCTCAGGCAACTCAACAAACCCCAGTAACTGGGATTTCTGTAGCTCCTTCTTCTTTGCAGGCACAGTGGTCACAACAATAGGTGAGCATCTTCACATGTTCAGCGTTTTAAACCTTTTAAACCCTGGGATTTTATAAGATGGAGACAAATCGTTATCTTGTTCGCAGGCTACGGCAACCTCTCCCCCAGCACTGTGTCTGGCCAAGTGTTTTGTGTGTTTTACGCACTGTGCGGGATTCCTCTGAACCTGGCCTTCCTCAAACAGCTGGGGAAGTGTCTCACCATCCACCTGGGCCGACTGGAGAGGGGAATGGTCTCAGTTGTTCCACACAAGGTACTAATGGTCTTTGATGACAATTTGCTACCAAAGCATCTGCAGCATGGTGTCTAGACAGATGTATGGCCATTTTTGTTTTTGATGCCCATAGTGACCAGAGATATGCCAAGAAAAGGTAATTGCCACTTTGCCATGTCTAAATCTAGTTTTACTGTGTTCGTTTCCTAGCAAACAGTAGAGGCTCTGGCAGTGAGCTTGTTCTTAATCACAGGCAGCCTGCTGTTCTTGGTCATCCCTCCTCTGCTGTTCAGTTACGTGGAAGGCTGGACGTTTGGCGAGGGCTTCTATTTCGCCTTCATTACCCTCAGCACCATTGGTTTTGGAGATTATGTGGTGGGTGAGTGGAGAGAGCAAACAAGCACTGATGTGGTGGAAAGACAACAGCGGTCACCTCTTCAATAAAAAGGCTGTTTTAAATGATTTGAGACAATTAATTGTAAATATTTAATATATAAAGCAAGAAAATTATAAAAATCATTGTTTTACATATCTACATATTGACATAATGTATCTGTCTGGGATAAACTAGCATGTTCTAACAAGGTAATGTTGATTCCTGTAGGGTCTGTCCCAGGCAAGGAGTACTTCTCTCTGTACCGTAGCCTTGCAGGTATATGGATCATCTTTGCCTTGGCTTGGCTTGCTCTTATCCTCAACATGGGAGCCAGACTAATGGAACATGTGATTGGCCTGACTCATCCAGGCTTTAAGAAACAGGAAGAGGAAGAGGACGTGTCATCCAGTACACTAGAAGATACGTCAAAGATCTGACAGCGGACTGTAGATGGGACTATCAGCATGTAATATTCACTAGGTAGAATATATTTAGTGTGATTGTTCCATGCACATTTTATGACAGATTGTGCAGAAAGAAAACAGCAGCATCTTTTACCAAAAGCTCTTTTTGTACGATATTTGCCCCATCATATTTATTCCGTCTCTAAATCTTTCTATTTATGTTTCACCTTGTTGAGAATTGTTTTAATATGTTATACAATAGGTAGGAAAAACATTGCAGATTTTTGTTTTGACAGTTCTACCTCAATTAAGCTAAAGAGTCAGTAAAGTAGATCAGGGCCCATATTTTTAAAACTTCTCAGAATTACATTTAAGTATTCTCTAAAGAGCCAACTTGAGAGTACAAAATGTCTTCGCTGAGTGCGAGCAATAAGATACATTTATAATTTGACTTACTGCTACTGACAATAGTAGCATAGTGGTTGTATTGAAGTAGCAGAAGAGGTATGATAAATACTTTTACTACTAAGTACTACTTTTTTTTTACTTAACTTTCAGCAGTTTGATAAAAATGGGCCCAGGGTAAGAGTCTTAATATGAAAATATGTAATGTTTTTTCCGTGCAACTGGTAGAATTATGAATAACTGCTGTACTATGGATTTGTGTCTTTTTGTACTCCTGTTTATGTACGGCATTATCATGTGCAAGTGTGCATGTAAATATGTATGTTTTGTGTGTGTGTGTGTGTGATCATGTCCACATCTGCGTTTGTGTACTGATGATAAACTCCGGTGATTTGAACACAGAGGGCTATCTTAAACAAACACATTAACCAAGATGGTGATGTGAGGTGGCAGGAGAACCCACAGGACAGATCACAGAAAGGCAACTGGAATACAGGAGAGTGGCTTTTGCCTGTCACGCTTTTTTAATATGTTCACTCGAACTGGCCAGATGTGTTAGCAGAGCAAGAACTTTCTGTCTACCAGTCAGTATGAGAACTGTAGTCCCGAGGAATGAAATGCGAACATAATTGAAATGGAAATGGACAAGTGGAGTGTGTTGTAATTTGTTTCAGTGTGATGCCTCTAGAGATAACATAAAAACTACTGTAGCTGATCCCTGCCATGCCTAAGCAAACTCCATGACCTAGACAATGGTCGGAACCCTAAGGTCAAAATTTGACCTTACCCATAGTCATCACCTACAGCCCAACCCCTGCTGGTGTCTCTCCCTCTTCTCACGTCGTTCTACTAAATTTGCATGACAGGGCCGTCGGAGTGATGGAAACACAAGTGCACGTGGAGGTTCATTTGCCTGCATTGCATTGGAAAGACGAAAAGCCAAGCACGTCAACCCTCACTCCTTGCTGGATCCAGCAGCGATTGAGACACTGGGCTTGCCTGGATCCCAAAGTTCTACCAGATAGCCAAGATGGGAATAAAGGAAGTGTTCAACTTGGCTCGGGTGCCCTCCATCCTCATGCTTGGGGCCGTTTATGTGGCCTACGTGCTGATCGGCGGGGTGGTTTTCTGGAAGTTGGAGGGAGATCTCGGCATGAAGGACATCAGTCTTTTAATGGTGAAGAGAGACGACCTGTTTAGGACGTACACCTGTCTGGACCAAACAGGCCTGCAGGCGGTGGCTCAGGTGAGGCACAGAAACAATGGACATCAGACGGAGCAGGTCACTTAAGCTCCCAGGCACGCATTTTCTTTGCCAGTGACTTCTAAAAGGCAACCTAAGCTAATATCTGCTAGTATCTATGTCTAGTTGTTTAGTCTATGTCAACCTGTGGGTTTTACAGAGACCAATGAATTTACATCTAAACCACAATCCTTTTGCATTTTGATATTACTGAATGAAGGGATGGCAACATCTTGAAACACTCAAGCATACATGAGACATGAGCAGCGCTGCCCCCCTGGTTTCACAAAACGCTTAGTTTACTCTTTACAGCTTGCACTTCCTCCATATAAACAACCACTTTTACTGAGTGAAAATACATGTAAGAATCATATTTAGCAGTTACGTGTTTTTGTATGTTTTCTTCTTCATTCCAATAAATCACTGAAGTTATGAACAGCAGTAATGGAATAAAAGTAATGGTGGTGGCACCATTCAGCAATACAGATTAAGCAAGAACAATAAATATCTGCCCCATGCCAACGCTTCCAAGCAACGGAGGGCCAAATAAAAGTTATGATCAGCAAGCCCCGTCTGAAGCCTTTACAGGTATTTACGTGGAAAAGAATCAACTTCTCGCCATGCAAATATCAGCCTTCCAGCACTGCACCCTCTGCGTTGCCTATATGTGTCTTGGCCTGACTCGATTTGCACAGCAGCAAAGTTGGTGAGAATTGTTTAGACCTTGAAATTCATTCTGGTGAAAAGTGTGTTATGTTGCATATTTGGAAAAAGAGACTGCCAAGAGTTTCAGAGAAACCCCCTTACAATTGAGCAGACAGACAAGGGAGGGTGTCAGGGCAGTGAGATGGTGTTCCCAGGGGACTAGTGAACCCAAGCACAGGAGAACACGAGTTAGTCAGGCGATCACAAGGAAATTACAGAAGAAGGACTTGAACTATTGGCAGCAGGAGCAGGAACGTAGCGCCACACCCAGACAGACCACACAAACACCAGACAGAGAAACAAACAAGGACACTGACAGGAAACAAAGGCTATGGGGAAAACAGCAGGAAAACACAAGGGAGAGATACTGCAGGACCATTACAATAGAAGGGGAGTGGGTGCCTCCTCACTATAAATCAAGGGATAAAGATATAACATTTAAATCAATTTCCTGTCTTCCTGTTCTAAAATCAGGCTTACATTACCTGTTTAGAAAATACTGCACCATAGCTGATAAACTTAAGGGCTTGGATAAAAAGGCCAAAGGTCTCAGACTCAGTAATTTCCCACACTGGTGGTGAACTCAAGGCTTTTATGTAACAGACTGTGTCAACATATTTGCTCTGCCTGACACAGCGCTGAGAGGGGTCTTCTCCATGGCATGCAGACAAATGTACTCTGGCATGTAAAGAATAAAGTTAGGCTATATAATGACGTCGTACTACACAGTCAACAGTGTGAAACGGGAACTAATACTTGAGAACTGAAGGAGGTGAAAAAGGAGAGATGTGACCCACGATCAGTTCATCATAGTTTATAATAAAACAGGGCAGTGAGGATCCAGACGAATCATAGAGGAGACAAGTGTATATAACGCAGATCTGTCTGCCTGTCAGGGACTCCAGTCTGCAGCGTGTTCATACAATTCACTTACACATCACAGAACTGTAGACAAACATCTGGCTTCAGGATCAAAGAAAGATTTTATGTCAGGTCCATGTGACCATACTCTCTCTCTCAATTTTCAATTTCAATTTCAATGTGCTTTATTGGTATGAACATCAGAAGAACAAAATAGCCAAAGATTCAAGGATTATACATTTTAATAATGAGATAAGAAAAATAAATAAATAAATAATTTAGAAACTTCAATCCTTGCAGTCCATTGACCTAAAAGGCCTCATGATGTCCAAATGAGTTTTGGATCAATACGTGTGAGTCAGAGTCTGCAATACAGCATGGTTTCAGCTGGGTTTGAGCATTTTTACCCAGTTTGTGTTTTTTTTTTAATCTGTGTTTCAGGTTGTTGACGCTGCGTCCAAGATGGGTCTAAGTTTAAAAGGCAACGTTACTGCGGATGGCTTCTGGAAATTCACCAGCTCAGCTGTGTTTGCTGCCACTGTAGTCACAACTATAGGTTAGATATCACATGTAACCCAAGAGAGTTTCAATCATGTCCCATAACAGTTCTAGCCAACACAATTGTTTGTGCAACCCAAACAACTCTGATTTGATAATAGCTTTTAACCTGATGACCCACATGTCATGAGCTTTAGTCTGGTTGGAATAACTGAAATAGGGTTTTACATTGTGTTTAAATATCCAACATATTGACCAATTTTACATCCCAAAATTGTATTCCTGTCAATATGAATAAGCCTCTCATTTACTAAAACGAAGCACTCTTCAGGTGTTTCTGAATAATTCACAGACTATGGTCACACACTTGATTGTCTTTTAGCCATGATTTCAAATTAAATTTAAATTAATAATATATTTCACAGTCTCTAATAACAGCTGGCAGACTATTCCATGTATGAGCTGCCCTGAAAAAAGCTGACTGTCTGAAGGCAGTCCTCCTCATAGGTATTATACAGTCTCCTCTTGCTACCGACCAAGCGTGTCTTTCATCAGTTGTTTTCTGCTTTATAAAAGCAGTAAGAGGGGGAGGAGCCAAGCCATGCAAAATCTTAAATATAAGACAAGCATCTGTATATTTAACATGATTGTCCCAGCTCAGTAAATTAGGATTGTTTAGACTGTGACAGTGGTGATGAGTATTTAGCAATCTATTAAGCACCATGAAAGCCTGGTGGTATACTAACTGCACAGGTTTGAGTGTTGTACGGGATGCTTGTGTCCAGTTAGTCAAACAGAATGACAAATATGGCATAATCATAGCATTAAAATATACTGTTGCTGCCTTAGTAGTTAGACAGTTTCTGATATGAAAAAAGTTAGACAGATTAAACTTAACTGTATTTATTATCTTCTTAATTTGTTTTTTAAATGTAAGATTAGAATCAATTATTACACCAAGATATTTAAAGTCAGAAACCACTGTCAGCTTTTCCCCTGATATGCTTTCTATGAGCAAGAGCCCCTGTTGGACTAAAGGTGAAAAAAAAGAATTGATTGCAGAGCATTATCAAATTCACTGTGAGGACATGCCTCTGCCTTGATGGCAGACAGATAATCATATGCAATACAATGCAATGCGAATTAAAATAATTCCATAAATCTATTTTTTATAGAATTTAGTCACATTTAGTTTATTCTTTGATTCAGTCGTTTCTTCTGGACATATGCACTCTTTAAGGTGGAGCAACTCACTTTAAATGTTTAGTGGTAGGTGAAATGAAGAATGAATTACACCACTTATTGAACAGTTTAGTGGAAA